CGGCACTTTCAACAGAAAAAATTACCACGTGCATGACTATTCGCCATTCCGAGCGTGCCAAACATTTCGAATACTTGAAAAAGTTTATTGGTAGATTCCACAACCGAATAAAATACCTTCTCGATTTTCCTCATTCTAACTGGAACTCTCGTGAAAACCTTAGATAAACGTTGAATAAGCGATGGAATATACAGGGTGTTCCGTTAGAACATTCTTCGTTTGGGGAGATCTGAAATAGCTTGAGTAAACTTGAATGTTGGAAAAACTTGCATATTAGGACCGGTAGAGGTGTAACCATCTTAAAAGATGATTATGAAAGAGCTGCTAAAACTGAATTTTTTTTGCAATTAAAGCAATTTCTCACTTCTAGTTTCAGTTTCATGTACATACTTAAGGGTGTCCCCTGTATTCCGTCAACTGTTCGCATTTCCACTGTTTTCGGTGATGCGTTTAACTGGAATAATTCCACTCTGCTATTTTCGACTGTTATAACCTCGTGAACTTCGGGTAAAGGAGCAAAGTTTGTATAATAATCTAATTTCACCGTGTAATTTGAGAAAGTTGAAGTTGTTAGTTTTTGTACACACAGGATGTTTCAAATCAAGTGTCTTGAGTCCATTTTTATTTTATTATCCAACTATTTGGAAATAAGTTGAATTTTATTTTTTGGCGGATACTCTATTAGATAATTCGATATCCACCAATATTTCAAATGGCCTTCAGTGTAGGTGATTTTTCCAAAGTTATACTCTATAATAGCCCAGAGTACATACGGAATATCATATTATACGGGGTGATTCAAGTAACACTGCATTGGGTTTTCTATATTTTTGTTCGTATTTGTAAGGAATCTTACAAGTAGACTTGTTTTAAATATTTTCATACTTAATGACCCGGTATAAATTAAAAATATAAATATGCTATTTTGTGTGCACAATTCAAGATTTTTCTAAACTCTTATTAAAAATATCCTAATTTATTCTACAGTTGGATCACCCTGTAGAAGTCATGTATACTCGTAAATTCCCACACTAACCGAAGATTTAGATTATACTTGCAATTGTTTCATTGCAAATGCGCAGAGTGCATTACAAAATCATAAGCCATATGTGCATCATTATTTTCCAGGTTTTCCAAAAAACCGGAGGAAAAATATGATCTCCACCAGGATGGGATGGGTCTTTTCATCGATTGTCAGGCCGCGCAGACGCGGTTTTCTATCGAGAGACCTACTAGTATAGATACAGCGTTGCCACCATTAGAAAATTCATTTCCTTCTTAGCTACCATAAAGAAATCTTACATCTAGTTAATATAGAGTTTTAATTTATTTGTACGAAGTAGAAATATATTCTATTTTTTCATGCCTTTTGGAAACAAATTCCTCTTTTGTAAACCGCTTTAAAGCACTCTTTGGGAACCTCTAATGCATTTAAAAAAAGTTTTTCCTCAGAGCGCTTAAATGCTCGCTTCCCCAAAGAGGAAAATTTCCATCTGGTCGGCAACGCTGTCCAGTTAGAGATACTTCGGCATCCGAGACGCATGCATGGAAATCGAATCACCAAGTCGGCTATGACGGTGGCTTCGCGCGACTCCCGTTAGTTTGAAAATTTTCGCGACGTTTTCACTCGACGCGGTCGGATTTTCCGGGCGAATTTTCCGGACGGATTTTCCAATTGTGCTGCCAGTTAAACGAGAGAAAATCGCGTTGTCCGGTGAGCAATGATCGAAAGTTTAAGGAAGTTTTTTATTAAGGTGAGATATTTGGAATATATGTACGTTGATTTTTATACTAGCGCCATGTGCATAACATTTACTATTAAAGTAGAATTTTGGTTTAGTATTTTGTATGGATTATGGATTTATAGATTGTTTTTATTTTTTATTTACTTAAAACAAATATTGTTGGCATTAAAATTTTTAGTTGCTATTCTCGTATTTGCCACAAACATAAAAAACAACTCTTATTAGTAACTTTAATAAGGATATAAAAATTGATTAGCTTTTACGATTATGTGTTATTAAAGCTTCCTGAGATGCGTTTAACAGTTCCTTTCCGGAATTTTGAGAATTAAATTTGAGATACGTTAGTCTCGTCTATGCGCAATGAATGGTTATATAACTTGGGAGTTTTGAGTCGGGGTTATTTCGTGGGCGTATATATTTAGGCCCTAAAAATAATACACCTAGTTATAGATATAGTGAGTATGCACTATAAGAAACGAGATGTACTCGTATAAGTAATAAAATTAATAAATCGTTTAATTGAAATAAATTTTGAATAGGATCATTCATAAAGGTAAATATGATAGACTCCCACGTGAGCTTAAGAATTACAAACCATGTTGATTCTTGGTATTAGTCGAAAACAAATCTATATTATCAAGTAGATAGCAAAATAAGCAAAGTAATAACCCAATTCCTTCGAACATGAGAAATTATTCAAAAAGTAATTTATTTTTGATGTTTACTATTATACGATTAGAGATTTTTTTGAGTTATTAAAAGGAAGACACTATATTTATATTTTGTTCTAACAGTTTTAATTTCTCTAATGAACGATTAAGGCAATATTTAAATTTGTGAGCCAAATAGGATGTATGATAACTAAGGATATTCTGTTTTCAATTCCCACACCAATTTTGGTTAAATCTTCAAATAGCAACTTTGACTGAATAATCAACGAATATTTCAGTTAAGTGATTTGAATTCGAATACAAATTACTTAAAAGTAAGTTTTAGGACAAGGACGGTTTTGGGACACCAATGTTGTTTTATTCAATTTAATGCGAATCTTAATGGAAATTTAAAACGTAAACTCAATTAAGGACGGAGGAAAAAACGGGTTAAATAAACACTTGGGAAATATCGCGGTTTCGTTTTACTTTTTTTCCTGTAAAAGTATCCCATTACCTTTCTCTGCCTTTAAATTGCGCGCTACAATTTTCATCAATTACGACCAATTAAATCTTCATAAAAGATTTTTTTAATCACATTTTTTTGTTTCAGTTCGTTTAAATAACAGATAGATACGTTAATAAATACAATACAACAATAAATATTTGAATATAAATTAGTTCAAATTTAATCCAATTTGATCTAAGTAAGTAAATTTCGCTCGGCCAACTTCGAAATATCGGGTGTAATTAACATCTCTAATAGCTGCAGAAATCAGTTTGAAGGGATTAAATGAGGCTAAGCAGGTTCTCCAGACGTTACGCAAACTCCATTCTACTCACTTTTATGCTCCCAATGTATTATTATGAGAGCATACCCGAGTTACATGCTCTATTTACACGACGTCGTAAAAGTATCTTCGGCTTTTAGTGGATGCTTCAGGAGGCCGTTAAAGTGGCGCAGCTACTTAATGTGCTGGTCGGGAAAGCTAGATTGTTTGTTTCGTTTTATTTTCGGTTGTTGCGTGATACAAGAAGAATAAAGGGTAGATACATTTTAGGAGAGATTTGAGTAATGAATTTTTGAACCAATTACTGTTTGCACTTTTTGGCCCAAGGTGTGGAGGTGTCTACTTGTAATGTAAATAAGCTTAATAAAACACTTAAAACATAAGTTTCCTCTAATAAGCGTTGATGATGATAATGAAACTAATTTACTTGTTTTTAAACATACTGAATAGAGATACCAAAAGGTTTGTGATTAGAAGAGAGATAATATAATGGTGTACAAATTTAATAAAACTGGCTATTCCGAGACAAACGTTACCATTTCCCGTAAGCCCAATTTGGAGCTCGAATAAACTCGTTTTGTTTCGCTTTCATGTTCTGTGATTTCCCTTCTAGGATGCAAATATACATTTCGTAAGCACTTCGCGTGGAAAAACCCCGACCAGATGACGCGATAGTGCCGCCGGATTAAATTGGATTTTCAACGGTTGTAAGGTGGATGTGCTTTGACCTTTCCGTTTCTTCTTTTTATGTGGCAATAAAACGTATCGTGCATTCTAAATCGCCGTAGTTTTTTTTTTGAACGCAGGGATTTTTTTGTTATAAAACATAGGTAGTTGTTTGATATTTTTTAAATCCGAGAGTCTTTGAATTCTTACAATTTTGATATCTTATGCACTCTCGCATTTCCCATTCAATTCCACTGCAGCTCCAATATATTTGCAGACATCAAAGGAATTTCCTATACCGGAAAATACTGTGTAATACCTCGGATAATAACGAAGTTCCGATAAATCGAAAGCTTACGGGTAATCCCGGCGATAGCGGCGGATCTCGAGAGTTTTATTAACAGATGTAGGTCCCAATAAAACGGTTGTACGCACACGGAGAAGGTGTGAATGTGTTCGAAAAGTTCAGAGAGGCGATTATTTTGCATTCCGTGACGCTTTTGACGCCAAAAGTTCAGAGGTCATCGCACGCTTTGGGTCAGAGGCTCGAACGGATGCGTAAATATATCACTCCGGGGGGGCCTGTGGAACAACAAAGGTTCGAATCATAAATTTCCATCATCTAACTTTAGCGAAAAGTTAAATTGTTTTATTGGTTTAGGTGTGATTGGTTTGCTTTAAATGGAGATTGATGAATGGGTGAAATCGTGGGGTATGTTATTAAAAAGTAAGAAAGAAAAGAATAGGTAGGAAAAGGATAGGTCTACTTCTCTACAGTTTACCATTAAAAATCATTGCAAATAGTACAACCTAATTGTACTACTGTAAATACTAATTGAATTTATTTTTTGCAGATGCTCCAGGATACTACGCTCTTGCAAAAAAAATGATAATACCGAAAAGAAAACAGCCGATTTATAACAAAGTAAAATTTAAATAAAAAAACTATTTCCCTTCGCCTTACCTTCGCAACCAAAGCAATAACCACACTTTCTTATAACCTTTTAAATTAATGAACAATGTCTAAATTACTAATCCTAATAATCGACCTAGATACGATAATGATCCATTCTGGCGTCTCTAAAGCTCTAAACCTAGTATGACCCCTCTCCAAGCTATTCCTTAAAGACCCCCTATCCTCACCCAAAATGCCCTTCCTAACCAAGATAGTACTAGTACTCATACAACTTTGTGTATTACTAGCTGTTATAAAGGGAGAAAATCAAAAGACCAATAGGCTCAATGGGCTCAATGCGCTCAACGGGCGCATTTACTTCGCAATAGCGGCCGCTCCGAGCGCCCAGGGCTACTCTAGGGCGTTCAATAAAACAATAATGAACATAACCTCCAACTATTTAATGGGAAAGAGCGGAAAAATCGGATTCAATATCAGTCTGGAAACCATAGTGATCGATCTGCCGGAAAATGGAAGTTTTAGTGCCGTTTTGTTGGAGGAAGTTTGCGAGAAGTTGGAGGGGAAACGCGTCGTGGCTGTTTTGATTATCGGTAGTTCCCCGGCGGCGTTTACCGTTTCGTTAACGGCCAAACATTCGGGGATTCCCGTGCTGTGGGCCAGAGGGTATGGACAATTTTTGCCAGGATTTCGGAGTTTGGTGAGTTCGATTTTCAATCTTTTCTATTCAATTATTTTTACTCAATATATTTATTCAATCGTTTAAATAACCTGTGATGAATAATTTTTGTTGTTGCAATCTGTTATGTTTGACCGAATAGGTTATTTTGTAACATTTATCAGCATATTTTATTCATATGTACGTACTTGAAGCATGGGTCTAGACTCTCTTTGCTTTTCTACAATTATAAAACGATTTCTCACAAATATTATTAATGTATACAATTCGAATGATATAGCCGAAGTCGCGAAGGTCCCTTGCGTACTGTAGAAATAGCAAGATCGAAATTATAATGTTAATGAGATTCCATAATAATATTGAGAGGCGCGGCAATATAAGGTCTCATTGAAAAGTGAGTTAAAATTACAACATGCCGGAGTCGCTTTTCCGAGGAACTTAATTTAAATTTCAAATTTTTGGTAGCTTGAAATTCACAGTGCCGGAGTCGCCAGAATTTTAAGAACATAGTAGCATAAAGAATATTTAAAACCGTCCTTTTGTATTATATCAAAATTCGGGTAGCGCAAAAATATTTTAGTCTGGTCTATTTTATTTTAAATATCGTTTTGATTTGCATTATATTATAATTGTTTATATTTAGTGTAGGCCTAATCCGTTAAATAAGAGTTCGGTCTTTGCTTTATTCTATTAAAACAGTATTATTATATCCTAAAGGCAATTACAGACCGACCAAAAACTTTCAACCATTGTCTGAAATAACGTAATTTATCACTCAATCTGTGTCAACACTCCGCCAGCGCCATACCGTCCCGACATCTAAGAGAATTACACAGTTCAGGAAAACTTTTCCTAATCAAACAAACACGCATTTCAGTTGCCACTTTCTATTGTGGAATGTGTTCGTTTCAAAATTAATTCCAGGGTAGTAAAGTGTCACTAGTAAAACTCCTTGTAAAATTTGGTGCTCTTTGTAAGGTAGAATTTATAACCGTTGCATAAGAGGAATAACAAGTAACAGTCTTAAAACATTTCTATATGAAAATTCACAATCAAAGTCGTAAAAAATTGTAGGATTCTGGCCCAACTGATATATTTTTTCTCATTTCAAATAAACTCAACCCCTGTGTATTGTTATTTACTTTCGGGACCAAAACCTATTCGCTACATTTCGTTCAGCATTGATAGCTCTAGTAGTGGAAAGAGAAGGATAATAATGGGGTGAAATAAGGTCATCGCTGGGTTTTCCTGCTACAATTGTATTAGTACACGCGTTGAGGGACCATTTTCGCTGAGGGAAAGGTTTCATCGATATGACTGAAAATTGACCTGATGAATATTTTAACCGTTTCAAATTTAATGAGCAGCATTTTGTTAGCGGAAAATTTGAAATTTGAAATAGTAACCAATTAGTCAATGAGATATTAATACCATAAATTAAATTTTATCCATTGAACATAATGAAATCCTTAATTAAAATCCAGTATGTGTAATACCGTAAATGGCGTAACTAATAAAAGAATGATTTTATGCTAAATAGGCTGAAAGAATAATAAATTTTCCTTTAGTCGAGATACCGCTAATCAAATCCGGCCACTTCGTTTCTGTGGTAGTACGTTTATACAGCCTCCAAATAAGCTATTGAAAAAAAATCCCATCAATCAGGGAATAACTGAAGGACTTTTACAATACTGTGATTTATCGATTAAAAATTAATTCTTCGCGTGGCGTTACATTGTTCTCGCTATCCGAAAATTTCACATTTGCTCTTCGACCTCTCGAATGAAATTCATCAAACGCTGAATAGAGCAAGTCAATTAGAATTAAAGCGGTTTAACGGTTGTGAAGCATCGCATTTTTCCGGCGAAAAATTTCCACCGCTCCCAAATGATGGGGAATCAGGCTACGCCGTCATTCACAAAGCTTGCCTTTTGGAACTGGCTTATTAATAATGCGTGCAATATTGATTATTTATTTTGGATTTGTGGCCATCTTCCGTTAGGCTCGATAGTTCTCCCGCTGGGTCAAATTTAATGAACACATATTAATTTGTGCATATGTTTCCGGGATTAAAAATATGTGAAAAGGCATAGTGTGCTTGGGAAAAAGAGCGTATTGATTATATTCTCAAAGAAAATATATTAAAACTAATATTTTCCATCTTTACATCGTCAATAAAAGGGATAAAAGGTATAATTTTCCGTTGCAATAATAAGAAAAAGTAAAGCTCTTACAATAACTACCGCATGAAAGTTATATAGACCTAAATAACAGTCCGTTGGCAAACATTTCCTTAACTCAGCGTGTTTCTCTCCGGGGGATTAAAATTGAAAAAGATAATTCTCTAAGTTTAGTATATAAATATATATATATATATATATATATATATAATAATAATATATAAATAATATATTTCAATTAGAATAAAACAAATCGGTTAATCGTCACTCGGTTTTACTTATTTGCCAATATTTTGTGTGTACAGAAGACTATTGTATGTATCATATTTTGTTAATTGATAAATATTTACCAAGTTGAACGTCGAGTATGAAGTAATTTGTATTATAATACCTTGTTCAAGCTATTTTAACGACCAACACGTAAACGTAACATTTAACATTGTTATGAACATTCACAGTTTCAATAAGATTCAAGCAATTGGTGGATATTTTTGTTAACAAATCATAGAACTTTGACAAAAACGGTAACAAAAAGCAGGTACATCGATTTTAAAAATAGCTTAGCAGTAAGTAAAGATAAGCAAATATGTAGAAAAATATCTGTGGTTGATCTGAACGGTCAATCTCTACTTATTTTTTATAAGAAAAAACCACTTTAAATTGGCACAAGTTCTTGATAGTTTCATTCATGTCCTATTTATTCGACCACTATAGCTGTTTGTTAACAGGTCAATCATTGACTATTCTTTTTTACTTATCATTTTTAAAATACATTACAGTTATTTTACTTCATCCAACCAGATAAATAAAAATCGTCTACAGTTGGAGTTTCCCCCTTATATTAACCAAAAGGTTAATTAGCTGGAGCTGGTTATTAATCGCGTATGTTAACCAAAAAGTTAGTTGAAATAATAACATAGCAAATAATTTCTCACTTAAATCAATCAATAATAGACCTTAGCGCCAAATAGCAGAATCCGCACATGGTGTAATTAGCGAGATCCCTTGACGGTATTTTCAACATGTTATCTTCAAACAACGGCACTATAAAGCATTTCACCAAATAAGTGACGCAAGCTGCTATTGCAAACTGATTGCCCACGGTGTACGAGAAGTACCCGATACCGATGGAGCCCGCAACCGCGATCACCTTCTCCATTTCGCTTTTGCAATCGCACAAGCCCGTCACGTACGCCAACGTTGGTAGTACCGGAACGAAGAGACACGCGTAAATGATCTCGTCTTCGAAGCCGTACAGGTCCAGCAGGATAGCAGCGTATATAGGGAAGACGGCGAAGTCTTGAATCCCTGATGTTATGGCGTGCAGTCCGCTGAGGTATTCTCCGTACGGAAAACCTACGAGAAATAATTAGCGTTAGACAAAGTATTTCGTACAAAAGTACAGGCGGTAACAAACGAAAAACACAACAGAGAATTGCGTGTTGCATCCTTACATACCGCAAGTGATCATTCCGATAACGGAATTCGCTATAATAATTCCGTACATGGCCCTTGATCCGTTGTAAGCCAAAACGCATTCGCATAAGCTACAAAGGTTCGTCATGCACCAAACCCCGGTGCCGGCTAGTACGGCGTAGGAAATCGCCGTTGATACACCGCATTCGGTGTCGCCTCCCCCGCCCCGAGCCTGAGCTTCCGTTAGCCGTCGAGATTGTAATTGAGCCTGGGACGCGCCTTTGAGACCCTCGCCTTTGAGAGCCTCGGCTTTGAGACAGTTCGATCCCGTACAATTCGCATATTTGTTGGTGTCGTCGTCTACGACTTCGTCTTCCGGGCAGTTCGAGACCAATTTCGCTGGTGTGTATCGACATGTCGGTTTACCACAAGGTGTGTCCGTGCCACATGGGTCGTCCATACAATCCATGTTTCGATTTTGTTATGATTAAATCCATTTAAGTGTACAATAGTTACTAGTTGAAAATAACTAGGTGTAGCGGTAACTTTTAAATTTATGTTCGAAAAGTGCGATTACCGTACAGAGAATTTAACATGATGACAATTTCGTGATGAAGTTAAAAAGTATTGACACAGACGTTTATCTCAATAACCTACAATTCGCAAAAAATAGTAATTTCCATCAAGTTGTCTGTCAACGTATTCTACTCGTATAGGATATTTTCAAATTATAATAATTCTAAAATACAAGAATGGGGATGGTTTAATATTCACGAACATCTTAATATTACAGATAATTCTCGGTTTTTGCGAAGATTCTGTCTTAAAAATTCAGTCTTATTATGAGGATAATACTCGACAAGTTCCGTTACCATTACACTCTTCCAATACAATTTGTCCCAATAAAGTATTTTGCATCAAAATATCCCCAAACATACGACGATTATTATTAAGTTAAATACTAATATTTCCAGATAATTTGTTACATGATACAATCATCCAGTCTTTTCACACTCACTCCCTAGCCTGCAATACTTTTAGCTGTACTTACCATATGTAATAACTCCCAAAGCAGAATTGCCGATAATGATACCATACATAGATTTTGACAACAAACTAGCGAATTTGCAATGGCAAATTTTACAGAGATTCGTTATACAGTATCCTCCAGCGCCTCCCAGAACCAAGTAAGAGAAAGCCGTTGAATAACTCGGAAAAGAGTCGCTTCCTCCACGACTACCGCGTCGGTTAGGTCCTGCTCTACGACCAGGAGCTCCCCGACCAGCAGCTCCGCGACCAGGAGCTCCGCGACCAGCAGCTCCGCGACCCGGAGCTTTACCACCAGCGGGAGCTCTCCCTTTTGCCGCACCAGGTCTCTTGGGAGGTCCAACGTCATAGCAATCCATCGATTAGTTCCCTCTGTGAGAATGCTTGTTTTTGTATGTAGAGTTTTATTCGTTGAATGTTTGTTTATCGATTCTCTAGTAAGTTCTCTTTTTGTGCTTCCTGTTGTAATTGGTCAATGATATAAAATTGATGGTTTGAGCTAACCAAGCAAGATTTACGATTTTTTTTCGGAATTTGTTAAATCGGATGTTACCTTTGTCTTGTTTTTTTATTAAGTATATGTTTCTATTCCTTGTTATAGTTATCTTGGTTATATTTATATGACTTGTGGAGTCACCGTATTGATGGTATAGAAATACAACATAAAACATACACTATTTTCACATTTTGCACGAAAATTTGCGGAAATTTTGACAAACACTACTGACAGACTACTGACACTGACTAATATCAAATACTGTACAAATCAAAAATCAATTAAGGACCAATAGGTATGTTTTAAAATCGCATAAGTGATTGCCAATTTGAATCGATAGATATTTTATTAGTAATTTTATATCAATGAGTTTTAAACGTTGGCAACATTCATAATTACCATAAATTTTTCAACCAGCACAATAAAACTGGTGGTACTAATAAGATTATCATTATAAAATTTGCTCTATTTGATTTTAACAGACCAGACAAATCGTTAGTCTTAAACGCGTCTGCAGCATTTTTTGTAGCATTTTCATAATAAATCCGCAACAAAGAGAGTAATTCGCAGTCGAGCATAAAAGCGGGCACGTAACGAAATCCGTGCAATTCTCATTAGATTCCAAATTTTAATACGCCCAACCGTAGTGGATGGAAGAGAACGATCGAGCGCGAGAGAAACGTGCAATGTTCTCTTGACTTATCTAAAGACATTAACCAAGATTGAGTTGTTCGCTTGATTCACTCAGCCAGAGACGAATAAACCAGGCAAATGCCAAATAAAAATAACTCTCTTGATAGACGTTTTAGAAGATTAGAATTCACTTATTCTTCCGTTTAACCCGAGGCAAACACAATTAACCAGAAACAGTGTCGCCAAAACGATTTAAATTACATTAAGAATTGCTGGATATTAAGTTTAACGACATATTAAATTGCCTTCATAGTAATCACGGTGAGTTGTATACTGTAATCCGTAATTAAGTTGTACTAACGGAATGAAGGTATTTGGAAAATCAGGCAGTACGAATAACTTTATTCGCTATATCTCGCATATAAATTTCCATTAAGCCTTTTGAAACGCCGCGACAACGAAAATTAGTGGAATATACAAAATGGGGATGTAAAATGGGGTTTATTTCAAGCTTATAAGAAATGTTACACCGTTATCTTGTCCATTTAATCTCATATTTACTCGGTGTATCGTCTCTTAAAAACCACTAAATTGTGGAAGATATATCTTTAATAAAATTATCAAATACTCCAGCATAATTAGTTATGTGGCAAAAGTTGTTCTAATTATGCTTTACTTACTAGCCAAATATTCCGTTAACTCTAGGAGAGTTTTCGGTAAACCGACGCCGATGGTGCCGTCGGCTTGACTTCTCCTCCATGTCTAATATGAATTACTAAATCGCAAATTCCGGAATAGATACAAGGCCGAGAAAACGGCGAGAGCAAGTATCTTGAAGTTTGTAATTCCATTTGAAGGGCCACCTTAAGCAGGAAATTATGTTTGCTTCGACGTTCAACTTCTACATGGAAGGTGGAAAATAGAAAATGAAAACTCCTTAGTTGGAAATATTATTTCGAAAATGTTGGTAGAAGTCGATGGAAGAAATACCTCGTAGATAAACTAATTTTTACAAATATTGATGGCTTTTACGGTGTGTGTTAAAACTCTTTGAATACGTTATAAGGAAACACGCTTTTCTTGTTAAAATCAGTACAAGTCGGGAGGAAAGTAATTTTCTGAAACTTGTGTAGGTACTCGCAACTAAATAATTATTAAAATGGCTTTTAATGGAGAAAATGTAATAGAGAAACTGTAACTAGAAAACTTCGAATAATGTGCAACCCCTCTTTCATATCATTTATTTTTGTTTTCGTTCGAATATCTAGAGGATAGTCTAGCATAGTCAACTAAGTTTGCGACGGAATTGAAACGCTCTCGACTAGAACTATACCTTAAAAAATTCAGTTTGTGATTGAATTTTTACTCGGCCAAAAGTTTGTACTACAGTGTTTTCTCGACGGTTTCGGTTCAATCAATACAAACGAAAAACGACGGGACTTTTATCGCATGTCGTAAATAAAGATCGAACAAATTTTCACGAGTGGATGGATACTCATTGTCGATTACTGAAATAGGGAAAATAATTATCCAAACATCAGGAAACTAATAAAGCTTTAAAAATCATTAATGTCACAGCAAAATTATGATTTATTGACTTTATCGGAAATTCGCGTATGCATATGTTTATGCACAAATTAAATCGACAATAAACAATTAAATTCTGAACCAATTTAGAGGAGATCATCCATCGGCTCAATAATCAATTTAAAATTTGTACAGAAAATAATCCGTGTCCACTCGAGCGAGCTTTATCATAAACGCATTAGCATATACGAGGGCGCTATAATTAATTGATTAAGTCACTTTTGTTTTGAATTTCGCCTCTAACGAAACTGATTGTTAACCGATGACGATTAATTACACTTGGAACGCTTAGAACAATGAGACTGACACAATGGCTGGGTAATTAAAGTTTTGGATCACACTCTAGAATTTCGAGAGGAGACAGGACATGTTTAATTAAGGCATCATGCGCTTTGACGTGTCCTTTGATCAATTGATCCAAAATAGATGCATTTATGCGTGTCTTAAAGCTGGAGGTTGTTGTACATGTTAATATTAAACTATCAAGGGTTTGTATAGGGCTTGTTTTGCCAGATATGTGTGGATTATAATCATGTTATAATCCTTCTACTAGTTTAGTAATCTCTTATTAACATCAACATTTTCCTATATTTAAAAATTGCGGAGGTAATTCTTCTCCGCAGAATGAAATATACCATTTGCATTTTTTTGAATAACAAAGAAAAAGCAGATTTGTCGAGTAATAAATTGACTTGTGTTTTTAATATTGTTCTCAGGAATCCAGCCCTCTGGAAGTTGATTTAGCGGCCAGGGGTCGCGAGCTCGTCCAAGCGATACGAGGCCTCCTGCTGCAGGCCCACTGGCACACTTTCACCGTTTTGGCGGCCGACCAGGCAGCGGCGACGGCCTTGCGCCGCCCCGAACTCTGGCGGACGCTCGATTCGACGCCCTTACATCCGACGCTGGTCGCCCTACCGTCGCCCGTCAGCCCTCAGACGCTCTTCAGGTTGGAACATTTTTGTCTATTTTTCTTTTTTTCTACAGAAAATCTTTCGTTCCACCGGAGGAGAAAGGTTACATCTCAAGAAATGTCCTACTTATTAGAATAATTACTATTTAAAACTGGTCTAAATTTTATAAAGTGCTGTTGAAATTAATGTAAATTAATTACAAAATAAATGAGTTGCATATAAAATGTTACATATGAAACATAGTCACGGATAAAACGCTTCTCTGTGCTAAGGGCGTTATTAATGCATGACCGGAGTACAAGCGCGTGCATGATCTATGGTGCCCTGGTATTTTGACAACATTATAATGCGTTTTATTATGAACGACAACGCGATTGATCGGTTGGCTGGAAACCTGAACAATTTGAATTCCAAATTTCGAGGTCGTTTAAATTGAGTACATCCAAAATGAAATATTAAATATCAATTTGATGCAGTAAATATTATTTTCTTTCAAGAATTTATAGTGGAACCGACGTTTTTGCGAAATTTAATTACATTTCTAATGATAATACATGGTAGGTATACATTAGTAAGGCTGTGTGACACAATTTTTCTTTCACAAATAATATTACGCTTATTGAATAACTTATTCAATAAAAAGGGCCTAATAATATGCATTAAAAATATATTTTAGTTTTTAATATCTATTCATTTTCGAGTACATTTGTACAACGTAATGAAATTGCTGCATTGTTAACAAGACAACATGCAATCGGAATTAACTTGATTAAATTTATTTTTTTCAATTTCAATAAAATCCATTTATTCAATTATCGGCAGACTTTTATTGCGTTGTATACCATAATATTATTGGCACATGTAGACCCAATACATTATTCATTGGGAAAAATAAGGTATCGAGTTTATTTTCCTTGTTTATATGAGATGTAGCGACATATTACGACGGTCACAATCCCATTTATTCGACCTCAACAGGTGAATTTCATGTATGCAATATTTATTTCAATTTGTAAATGTATACATGAAACAGGAAGGAGCTATAGTAAGAATAATATAAATCGGCTAGGCTCACTAACATGAGGACCAAAATAATAAAAGTTCAACTTGTATTAAAAAAAAATCTCATCTATTAATTCTTGGTTTCTTGCATTCCAGAAAATTAGCCGACATTTCCAGGTCCACCAGGGGAGTGGTAATCCTGCTGAGCGACCGCGCCAGCTGCAAAAAGATCCTCGAAGACGCGAAGCGCCTCAACATGATGGACGGTCATTTCGTCTGGGTGTGGATCGACACGGTGGAGACGGCGCCGTCGAGAAACGTCTCTAATCCACCGGACGACGATAAAGAGAAAGACAAAAGGGAAGACGAGCGGCCGATGAGAAGAAGAAGTGACACAACCGATGATTATAACTCAATTCTAGAGGACCAAGACGACTGGGACGGAAGAGCGAGCGCGTCGAGTCTACGGGATGACGTCCATACGAAGCGCAGCGTTCCGGAAAAACCCGACATAAGTGACGTGAACGTGAACTATCTGCTGAGAAACGACCAGTCGTTGTTGTTCAACAACCAAAACTATGGGGTGAAAGTTTCGAAATTTCGGTATCGGTCCCGGTTGGATGCGGCATACGGCGGGGGCGGCGCGGGCGATAAATTGCCGCCGGGGTTGCTTAGCGTTAGACCGCTTCCTGTGAAAGTGGATAGACATTTGGTCAAAGGTGCTGTGAGATTGCTGGTTCACACATTAAAGCAGGTGCTCGGCCAGAGTCCCGCGTGGATGTTGGATAATCTGCTCAATGCGCAGAATAACGGTTGTTGGAAGAACAACGGCAGAGAAATTAGTTTCATCAGCGAATTTGCCAGGTAAATTAGTGGACAAATTAATTACTTAAGGCGATAATTGACTCCTTTAGGTTGGTAATTGCCACTGTTAATGTTAATTAAATCATCACCATTACGTACCTACATATCATTTATAAAAATCTTCTTCATTACTTGCAATTACCTTCATGAACCTTAGTGCATATAATAGAGTGAACTTTTTGAGTCTAGACTCTAACGCTTTCGAATTTTCTGCCTCATTAGCAATTCAAATATGTACTCTTCACCGACTCATTGCTGTGGACCTTAAAATGTAAATTTTACCCTCAAAACAAAGATTCCATGAATTTATCTAAATACAGAAATTTACGATGGATCGTCTTAGGTGAAGATTATGCGGGAAATGTCTTTTCTATTTTGTGTCAAACATGACGAAATCGATAGCATGGTCATTCCTTCCGTTTTACAGATGTTTTTCAGTAACTCTTAGAAGTAAACAGAAATTAAAAATATGGTGAAAACGCCCTGAAATATGTAGGTATATCTGGATTCGGTGAAACGAAAATCTTCTCCGGATTTATTGCTCCGGGGTCAAATTTCTCTTTCCACGTATAAGAACCGGTGAGAAACGACTTCAATTTGCCTAGTCGGCAGAGAATAATTGGTTTCAAAATTGCGTATATATTCTTTCAAGGGGTTATTTTTCTTATCTGTTTTACCAGACGTACAGCAAACATTTATATTGTAACCAGCATCAAAATACGTAGTAGATCAAGGTTCCAAATAAATCCATTTATGTAGCAGTCGCATTATGTTAGCTATAGGTAACGCGTTTATTATACACCTATCCTCAATATACGAGATAGAGCGTCACAAATCTCATAAACTGGTATTGTTATTACAGAACATCTATTCTCTACGATGACAATTCGACCTCAATATTAAACGATAAAGCTTTATTTTTGTTCCTATTATTCCTGCAATATATCCTCGAATCAAATATTAAAGACGCAACCTTTTTCCAAATCTTATTTAGTCTCTTAAGGTTCACCTTTTTTAAGTCTACTCGATGTAAATAAAACCAATTTTAAATCACGCCTATTCCCATTCAGACGAAAAACGTTTTTTCATAATTGATTTAGGACGCCCTGTATGTACACGGAAAAATCGAAATTCGAAAGAAGAGTTCCAATTTATTTGAGGGCGATTTCTTATTCCCAGACCTAAACGTCAGATCAACCCAAATATTCGCTTTCAAGAGAAAAGAAATCCGGGAGGGAATCGCAGAAGAGCCGGATTGCCTTCAAATAATCGCATTCCCTTTGAAAATCGCAAGTCACGCGGTAAAATTGTCATGTAAGAAAATTTCTAATACATTTATCTCGAAGTACATACTTAAAAATCGAATTCGTAACGATTCTGTCGGAATTTAGACACGTCTAAATGGCGTTACAAGCAAATGTATCGACGATATTCCGCTTAATAGATTTTCTATCCAATTGTGTAGGTATTAAGAGATCGATAGAAATAACTGAAGCTATTATTGACCAGTATTAAAAATAGAGGGATTTGAAAAATATTTTAATTATTTTAAGGTTATTTTAATAAAGTTGTTTTTTATCTTTTTATCATTATGTGGTAATGATTTTCATTAGAACGACAATATGTGCATCAACGATATTTTTCTCCTTTTTACAAACTCCCTTTCAGTCAAATATACCTACCCCTTTTCGACTTATTTCCTAACTACCGAATAGAAAGGATCTTTTCAACCGGAAAATGAGATAGAAAGGATATCCACATAAACTCTGTATTGTAGGTTTAAAACGAGCAACGCATGTAAATTGATGTAAATGACAGATATGTAAATAATGCCGGCGAGAAAAGCGTGAAAATTTACCAAGAATTTCTTTTGTGATCTCAGCGAGTGGAAATTAAATCTGAAGCCACGGGAGATTTCCATCATAAAATTGCAGGAATATTATGAATGAGGTAAACTAGATGAATCTCCTTTGATATACATACCTCTAAACAATTCCTTTAGGAGGATAATTGAGTAAGATTCTTAAATTTTTTTTCGGGATATAATTGGCTCTATTTGATTAGCAATTGGTTATTTCAGTAAGATAATTAAATATTATGGAAACAGTATCCTCATTCTTGGTTGCATAAATGACTCTCTCGGATATAAAAAGACTCTTTTAAAAGGCCTCATGAAGGGCCCTGAACGCAGCAATTTGAACCAAACTATATAGTCACATATGTTTTTACACAAGGCAAGGTAACATAATAAACTTCCCTCTATTATTCACCGGCAACTTCACTTGTCCTATCAGCAGAGAATGCTGCCGTACGAACAGGAATTCAATGTAGATCGACGAGTTTCCCTTACAAATTACGTTAAGGCCTCTACTCGCCCGTAATTGAGTCGGAAAACCGAACGAAGGCACCGCGCTTCTCGTACGTCACAAATTGGCCCCTTTCATATTGCCAGTAAATGACGCTCGGGCGTCGGGGCGCCCGTGCGACAATAGCATCAGAATCAGATTAAGGTATAATAGCTGCACCGTGAAACTCGGGAAAGGTAATTAGGAATAGGAAGGAATTTCTCTTTGCTTCATTTTCGAAAAATATGCTTACAATTAGTTACAGGACCTTTATGAAATTTTAATGTAAAACGAGATCATTATAATAAATTCATACATAGGTATGATTGTACTACTTATCGACTACTCAAAAAAAATAGTAAATGAGTAATTTTTAACTTTACTGAATTCATTATTCGTCAATATAAATTATAGAACATATAATTTTTTTAGGTTATTTTTTTAATAAAATAATAATTTCGCTTAAATATTTTGTTACTAGATATAAAAACAAATAAAAATTATGAAAGCAATTGTGGATCAAAAAAAAGTAGAAGAAAAGTTATTGAAACTAGAAGTAATTTCAAATGTAATTAAATGCAATTTGTTTCCTTATCATTCCTTTCAAGAGGTTTCCTGATGTTAATTGGAAATACCTATTTATTTATCGATGTAGCGTTTACGAACGTTCGTTCGCATTGCCATTTATCAACCAAATTTCCGATGTTACGTCGGACAAAGGCCTCGAGGAACATAAATTATGTAGCCAAGATTACAGTAGCAGGAACAAGCTAAGTAGCTTCAATCCGATGTGTAACATCCCTTCTGGGTTTCCTCCGTGAAATAACTAGACGTTCGTTCCCGCAGAGTTGTACCGGGAAATTTGTGGAAACGGGAAAAGTGGAAAGCGTTATTACATATTTCATATCATACTTAACAATCTATTTTTATTATTTTGTCAGGTATCTATAATGTACTTATATTATCACAATAAATAAATGATTTGAAAAATCGGTTTACAAAAACATCGATATGATTTATCCGTATTTAGAGGATTTCCTTCTTTATAGACTCAGACAAGAAGCGAAAGATTTATCGGAAAAAGGCATAAAAGGTCACGTAAATCGAAATGGAACGATATCCATCGATTGCTGTAATTTGTTAGCCTGAATTAATACCTTTTCTCGTCAAATTACTGGCTGTGCGAGATGACCGAGTTTAATAAGGGGAAAAGCGCCAGTTTCCGATATCATTCTCGAATTTTCTTTCATTAAATTTATCGCTTCAAATCATCTTCTACAAATTATAGGTTTTATAACTATGAAAGATAGAATCATCAGTGTATTTCATATAGAAAAGAAATAATTTTTCTAAATGTCATTAATTAACAATAATTTATTTCATAAATTTAAATAAATCTGCGATTACAAAACAATACGAAACTTTAATAACTCCTTTAATTAAAGTACATCGAAACTTTTTGGATTATAGAGATAAAAACCTTAATTAAACCAACGATTCTGCTCCTAATTTAACCACTTAAACTTTGGGAATTTAAACGTGTAATTATTGCGCTGAATGTAAACGGTAAATACACGAACAAATAATAATAAAGAGGCGAATAAAACACATCCGGAATGTTTGCGGGATTGTTATTGGAGCAACTTGAAGATTACATCGAAGATTTAAATTTGTTATTTTGTTTCAGGGAATTGAAAACAGCTTGTTCCAATGCCTTAGCAGGAAAAAAATTCACACAAGAAATTGGCGTTGACAAAGTGGACAAATCATTAGTTGCGAATTTCGAAATTCTTAATTTAGTTCCTGAACCTAGTATTTACGTTAACAAATCTGATGCACCAGGTAAGATTCACTTATGATTCACCACGTAATTTCTGTTATTTATTAAAAAGTCTGAAAATTTAGGAGAATTTCTCTACATTCACAAGATTTGGGGAATTTGTTCACTAGAGCTTTTTCTTTCAGAAATCGTAAAATCCAATAAACTTTTACTAGATCTGGCAAAGTTCACCTCGAATTGAATTGTGCCGCAATGGAAAGAGGGTTGACTTAACTTTTGAAATCAGTCACCCTTAACAATTTTCCAAGTATTACGGTTGAATTATAACATAGAGCATAAAAAACCGATTTTTTCCCAGTTTTATCGTGTAAATTGGATGAGATTCTCGCCGATATCCTTGTTACCTATACTTTAAATCTGCAACGGTTTCCATTCTCGTTAATTTTGCTCGAACTGGAAATCTCAGTTTTGTGTCTAAAACAAAATCAGTTTATCCAAGCGTTACGACTATTTGTGAAAGAAAGCCAGGCGACAAGATTGGAAATTTTCACCGTGCAGAAATGACGAATGCCATAAATACGAGGATAAAGGAAAAGGATAAAAATGAGATATTTCATAAAATAAACAAGAGTAGTCTTTGGTCTGTACATGAGAATTCAATAGTACATTTTACTCAAGAATTTTTACAAAAAAGTCCATCATTGCTGTCTTCTTTTCTGTTTTTTATTAGTCTGTAGATAGACTAATCAAAATATCAACAAAGAGGTATCAAAGTCTGTAGCGATCCTGCACTAGACCAGATAATATCAGCTTTTATCAAAAAAAACACAAACCTTAGTGAAGGAATAAAAATTTCTATACATACAGGCCATTTAACAAGTAATTTTGTAACATCTTCGGTCTCCGCAATTTCCAGATAATTTGAGCGGGTCTTCCCCGACGAAGGTCAAATGGAAACGAGTCGGGATGGTATCGGGCCGTTCCGTCCGTTTGGACACAATCATTTGGCCGGGCGGAGACCTGTCCGTAGCCGCCGTTTCGTCCCGAGCCCGAACCGTCTTCAGAGTGGTCACCGCTTTGTCGCCCCCTTTCGTAATGGAGAGCGAACTGGACGAGGACGGGCAGTGCTTACGAGGTAAGACAGTTTACCATTTCATCAGTTTACTTAGAAACTAGACCATATTTATAGGAAAAGTTTATAATTCCTTGGTTTGAATAGTAGGTAGGTAATTCTTTACCAAGAAAGACCGCTTTTTGCTTCAGGTCTTCCTTGTCATCGAGTCCTCACATCGGACAAGGACAATCTGACGCTGGTGTTCAACGAAATGCAGCGGCTGGAAGAAGAAGAGGACGATGCGGAGAACAAAAATACGCAATACGCCGATTACGAGCGATTCGCGAGCGATTACGACGACGATCAACAGTTTTTCCCGTTCCAAAAGTTCAAGTACAGAACTAATTGTTGTTACGGCTTGGCGATGGATTTATTGGAGAACGTTGCCCAAGAGTTGGAATTTGATTTTCGGTAAGATCTATCAGTAAATTTAATGTTTCGCTATGGGCCACTGTCACGGTTTTTTCGTTGCAGATTGTATATAGTTGCAGATGGACTATTTGGCTCGAGGACGATCAAGAAAAAGAGCAAAAGAAGCGAGAGAGATGTGGGAAAGAAATTTTTAAGTTACAGGTATGATAATTTTGGAATTTTTAAAGGGCGTAAACCATTTCAAGAGAAATCTAATTCTGAAATGAATACCTTTTTTTACCTATACTTTTGTAGGCAAAAATATATAAAGAAATTGAGCTACTTTTCCTCCAGGAATATTAAATTTTCCAAGATTTTATTAAGTTATCTTACTGCCTCATATGTATGCTACGTTCCTGAATAGTTTCACCTTTTGCTATAATAAATATTTAGGTACGCTTTGTTGTTTTCAGCTAACAATCCTCGCAATAAGAACAATTCGAGACTTGTTGCAGGAACGGCAGGAAATTGGAATCATCACTCTTGAGATATTAAAGTTGTAGTAGCACCAGATATAACTCGACGATTTTTGTTCTAGTGAATTTCATTTTGAGTGCCGTTTGGTATGATACATTACATTAAGGCTGCTCGTGAAGGAGGGTGCACACGAGACAATTTAATCAAAGCTCTTGGGGATTTAATCCCCATTGTAACGTCATCGTTTCACAATACACTATTCAACGGCAGAAATCTTTTAAAAATTCTTTTAATCCATTACAGCGTTATAGATTCCATCTTCTTTGGTACCTTTAATTACATTTTCTTTCTCTTTGTTTTTACGATTTATGTCGACAAATAGCTGAAAAGTTAGATACACTTGCCTTTATTTTATTTTGTCATCTTATACTTGCGTGCCTTTTCAGGTTCAAAGACGGCCGGAGTAAAACCGACCGCATCAAGGAATTGAATCCGGACGAGTTCGACATCAAATGGAACGGCATCGTGGGCGATTTAGTCTCGGGGGCGGCGCACATGTCCTTCGCTGCGCTCAGTGTCTCCAGCATCCGCAGCGAGGTGATCGACTTCAGCGTGCCGTACTTCTTCAGCGGGGTCAGCTTCCTGGCAGCGCCTCAGCAAAAATCCGAGATACCGCTCATGGCGTTCCTCCTGCCCTTCTCCCCGGAACTCTGGATAGCTATTTTTACAAGTAAGCACAAGGCGGCAAGCTCGCGCAGCAAGGATAGGCTTTCCTTAATTCCAAATATAGATGCTACAAAATGATTGACCTCTAGGTGGGTTCAAAATTAGGAGAGAACCAAAAGTGCTCAATGTAATATAATACAATAGAGCCTTGGATCTCGGATCTTTTGGTCTTCTCTTACCCTATCCTGGGATGCTAAAATAGAAAAAAATTCTAAAAAATGGGCTCATTTTCAAATTTCCAATTTGGTAGAAGAACTAAACGAAGTTTTTTCCACCTATTTTTTGCGCCCCTTACGCCAAATCAGCTGGAAATCTTTAAGCGTCGCGACGACATAATATCCCCGAAACGTGTAGCCATCAGGCGAGGCTTACGATGTAAAAAAACCGGAGATGACGTTATTTTTTTGCTCCCGGACCCCGAGTCGTCCGTGACTCTGGCTATCAGTTGAACGACGCGTAGGAACGCCGGAGACGTTCTGATGAGGTATTAAGAACAGGAGCGGTTTCAAAGAGACTCCTGCTGTTATTAACAAATTTCCGTACGATTTGCTGTCATTATTTCTAACATTATTAAAATAATACAAGTTGATAAAAGGAGAACTCGCGTAGTCAACGAGACTTTCGTTCTGTTAAAATACTTTAATTATTTATTGATCCTATTGCTTGGCTCTTATTTTTATTTTTTATCTACTCTATGAAAAGTACCGTTCCGGTTCTGTGCGAAAATCGCTTCGGTAAAAACTTTTATCCAACAACCGTAACGACTACTTATAAAAATAGCTGGTTCTAAGCTAAGAAACGAGGGAAAAAACGAACGCGAATTGCGCACCCAATTTTTTATTTTATATACCTAATACCTATCAGTAAAAACTTCCGAGCGCATTAAAACCAACTCGTTACGAATCTCTTTCATTAAATTTTAATTTAGAAATATGAGAAAATCCTTTCATCAATAGAGAATTATAATTCCACATCTCCAGCAGTGGAGGATTTATTGATTGCATAATTTCCATCAGTCTCTCGGAAAACTAGCCCGTTTTGTATCTTCAGTCAGGCGGAAAGTTAGATCTCCAATAAATTCACAATTTCAACGTATTCATGAGCACAATACAACTTTATTTAATTAACAACCACAAATAGATTTAGCCTAATGCAGGAACTCCTTTTTCCAGGTTTAAATATAACTGCAATAGCGGTCGCCATTTACGAATGGCTGAGCCCCTTCGGTTTGAATCCTTGGGGCAGGCAGCGATCGAAGAACTTCAGCATGAGCTCCGCGTTGTGGGTGATGTGGGGCCTTCTGTGCGGGCATCTAGTCGCATTCAAGGCGCCGAAGAGCTGGCCCAACAAATTCCTAATTAACGTTTGGGGCGGATTTTCTGTTATTTTCGTGGCCAGTTATACAGCTAACATTGCAGCCTTGATAGCGGGATTATTTTTCCACAACACCGTCAGCAATTACCACGATAGAAGTGTAAGTAAATTATTCTTTTGAAACGTATTCTCGTTTTAATGGCAGGCAGGTTGAATAATTAAAAAAATTTGAATAATGTGCGGTACTATATTTTTTTTAATTAATTAATCCTTTTGTGACTTTTTTTTAACCTTAGTGAAAGAGTCATTGTACGAATTTCGTTAGAATCGATGTGGAAGCGGAGATAGAGGGAACGGTCTTTGAATTGTATGCTCAAAAATTTCATTGTTTATTTTGCGTCTCAATTAGAATATTAATTACCGTTTTTCCTTCCCCTTGTCTCCTGTGCTTTCGAGTTTAACTGGATACGCGATTAAACGCTAGACTTGCCAAATCAATTGCTTCAAGACTGATTGTTTTAGAACTAATTTAATTTGCTTAATTTCAACCGTTTCAATGAATAATTTAGACACATTTAGTTTGTTCAATGAGCACTAATTCGTCTAGTAAATAACCATTTTCCTATTAGCTTCTTAGCCAAAAAGTTGGAGCCCCTAGGTCATCGGTTGCGGAATATTACGTGCAAAAAGCTAATCAATTACTGTGGCAGCACATGCACAAATACTCCTTAAACAGCATAGAAGAAGGCGTACTGAAATTGAGAAACGGCTCGTTAGACATCCTCATTGCGGATACTCCCATCCTGGATTATTATCGGGCGACCGATCACGGATGCAAATTGCAAAAAATCGGCGATACCATTAACGAGGACGCCTACGCCATCGGAATGACCAAGGGATTTCCACTAAAGGTACCTTTTATTCCGTAAATATTATCAGGTTAACAATTACTGTTAATGTCTTCCGGAAACCTTCTGGTTTTATTTTTTTTACTGGACTATTGGATACAAATCACAAGCTCTCCTTATACAATGCGCTGTTTTTAGGACAGTATATCGGCGGTAATAGCGAAATACTCCAACAACGGTTACATGGACATCCTGCAGGAGAAATGGTACGGGGGTCTGCCTTGTTTCAAATTGGCCACGGAAATCGCGCAGCCCCGGCCGTTGGGCGTCGCCGCCGTGACCGGCGTCTTCATCCTCCTGGGAGTGGGAATGGCGCTGGGGCTGCTCATTCTGTTGGTGGAGCATCTCTTTTTTCGGTACACTTTGCCGATTTTGAGGGACAAGCCCAAAGGGAGCATTTGGAGGAGCAGAAATATCATGTTTTTCAGTCAGGTGAGCGAAATGAAATCTCTCGGAGAGAGGTATTTGTTAGTTGAACCGTCTAATATCTCGTGAGGATTGACGCGTGACGGTAGGGTGTACGATATCAGTCAGCTCGGTAATATTCTGAAGGACGTACGAGGATAATTCATCATAATAGTTGTGGAAAATTGACCCGAAACCGTCATGACTGTCATGTTCATGTCTTCATATTTAAAAAGGGGAATGTTGGAGGTTCCTATCGATCGGAAAACACTCGCTAAACAGTAGTAACACGATCCATTAATGCGTTAGAGTAGGTCATTCCAACGAGGGTAATATGACGAGAGTGTCCGATTTTATTCAAAAAGGTTTTCCTTTCACTCCTTTCACCAAAAATTCTAGCCAATTTTATGAAAGATTTCAAAAGTCTTTTGAAATATTTATAATATATTCCAAGATTTCAGTGGAATCTGCAACGTTGGGTTGCTAAAATTAGTGTCATTAAACAGCTTTATCTCTTGAGTAAGAAAAAATCAAATTCAATAAAAAAATTAATCATCACATTTTAATAGTAAAAATCTTAATTAATTTAGCATAAAAATTTTAATCAACACTCAATTAATCCACTGCAATGAATTTAAATGAACTCTAATTGCATAAAAGACTATTATTGACTTGCGGATAATTCCGAAAATCGTTAAGCAAATACGTTAATAGCGTAATTTCTAATTCAATTGCATCAATTTTTCCGCACTCGTTAATTTATTGCTCGAATTTTCTTGGATACGGCTATGTCGTTAAATGTAGTTGAAACGACAGAGACGTATTCAGAACTCGGTCTTTTTCTGTTTTCAGAAATTATATCGATTCATCAATTGCGTGGAATTAGTTTCGCCTCATCACGCCGCCAGGGAATTAGTCCACACCATTAGACAAGGACAGATAACCAGCTTGTTCCAAAAAAGCATCAAAAGGGTTCGTATCGGATCGTTTTCGTTCTTTTCGCTTATACAGAAAAAAAAACATCTTGTTTCTTTTATGTGACACGTCTGTGCGCAGGCAGGATCGGTCTAAAAACTTTATAGCTTCTACTCGCTTTAAAAAGCGGGAATTTTTAGACAAGAGGTCGAGAAGAATTCCTACAATCCATTCAGTGAGTCGGTCGATCTTTTGCAGCTCTGCAGCTTTTTTATTTAATGACACAATTCATTCAAATTATGTTTAGAAACTACAATCAAAATAGGCTCGATATATTTATTTTTTTAAGTACCTGAAACACTGAAAAACACAATAACACTTACACATTCAAAGAGTTAACAAAATGGCATTGAATTTTCGATACAATTGTCTTGATGATTCTTGTTTCAGAAGGAACACGAACAGCGTAGGCGTAGAAAGTCTAAAGCGCAATTTTTCGAAATGATTCAAGAAATACGAAGGTAAGCTATCGAAACCTGCTGAATACACAATAGTTGGCATGAAATGTGTTACCTGTTAACTGTCAACTAAAGAACTAACGCTAAACGCGTCAGATTTGGCATCCTATCGATTTGTTGTATACCCGTAATAAAAATATGTGTTTACTTTCCTAGAACCATTAAAATTTTGTGAGTTTAAAAAGGAGGAAAAATTCTGAAAAACAAAAGGTCAAGGAAAACAATATTCTGCAATGTTATCATTAGAACTTAGATAATATGCAAAAAGCGAATTAATAGCATAAGTACAAATATTTTATAAATTAAAAGATTGCGTATGGTAATTAAAATTAATGCATGTGTCTAGTGTATACGTTTTTTTTAATTTTAAATTCGTTCCAGCCTTTTTTTTGTTCATTTCTGTTAAGTATGTACCTTATGTAGCTAGTATAAGAATATAGCTTCTGTAGATACTAACTCTCATAATCATAATCGTAATCGCACATCATAAATGTATATAAAATAGCACAATTTAATAATTATTTATTAGCGCTTATTTTCTATATTTTTAGTGCTTTCTATCCACGCTTCACTTATTATTACAACACTACATATTATTATTTTTTCATAAAACCCTGTTAGATACCCTAGATGTTCACAAATCATTTTTCTCTATTAAAGCACGATCCGTAGGCAACAACAAGAGGAACGAGAGCCGCCCCTGGAATCGGTGACCGAGGTCGATGCGGAGAACCAACAGTCTCCGGAAGAAAAAAAATCAAAACTAAGCCCCAGCATAATCAGGAGAACGTTCCTGAGGTCCAGCCCCAAGGCCGACAATGGAAACAAATCCAAATCTCCGACTACCTACTTCAATAAGCAACTATTCAGTCCCAGATCGAAAAGCAGAAACAAAAGCACCACCAATCTTAACGTAAGAAGATTCAGTACCGATTCCGTATTTAACTCAACCAGTCCGGGCAAAGAAGATTATTGCACCGTGGTCGGGAGGAGATTAAGCAAAGACGCGTCCGCTTTTCTATCGAGCTCCCCGCCTGACATAAACAGCAGAAGGTACTTCGTTTGGACTTCAATTAACATTATGACTTACACCCGATGTTTCAGATCCAGTTACTTGGACATCATCAGCTCCGGGTCGAAACTGGCGGGAAAAAGTCCGATTTTGTCCATCGAAAACCTGTCGGATTGCAGCAAATACTCGGAACCTATGCGCAAACTGTCCGATTCCGAGTCGATTGGTAAGAAGCTCGCCACTCTCCCCAGATACCAACAGGATTCTTTCGACAAGCACAAATTGCTCCAACCCCAATACAGCTTGACGCTGGGAAGGAGCGATGAAGCTCTGAATAGCGTCAGTAAATCGGACACCGTCGGACAAACGAGGAGCTTCAATAACATAACTCGTCCGGACCTCAATGAGAAGAGCAATTTATCCGACGACGAAATAGCTAGGAGGAATAGAGAAACAATTATTCAATTACAGGTAGGTGTATATATGGATGTACCAAATCAAAGGAATATGGTATGAAAAAAAAGTTATCTAGCATATTTTATTTTATTTGACAATTTTCTTTCCGTATTCAATTGATTTTGAATGTATTACATCAGTTTTATTAATTTGTTGAAAAAGTTTTCCAGCTTCGTTAGTATTAAATCAACCAATAAACATTATATTTTGTCAGAGCACGGCGATAAGGAATCCCAAACCGCCGTTGAAACGAACTAAAGACAATAATTCGAAACCTAGCTCTAGCTTAACCAACCCCCAAATTCGAATACAAGTAGAAGATACCTCAGAGCACGATACTCGCCACCCTCCGCTCAGTAAAAAACCGAAAACGAGACATGAAAGCCTAGGGGACGCGGCCGGACCTTCCGAAACCAACACCAGCAAACGAAATAGGTACGTAAATAACCTTTGTACCGAAGCTGAGTACTAGTAGATCAATTATATCATTAATTCAGTAAATAAAATACCAAATAGATCAAAAACCTGTTATTCCACTTAACTACTGTTGAAGCTACCATTAAAGACTCCTCCTCTGGTGCTCCATGGCTTCCTTCATGGCTTTTCTACAATACTAGTTGAAAGCTAACACTTCGTTCCACTACTGGGATAATTTATTCGGACCATACGGAACAAATACTCTAACAAATAGTACTCGTTTGCGTAGGTTAACGGACCAGTCGCGGTCCCTGGACAGCGCCAATCCGAACTCCTCGGACCGCCGCCGGCGACGATCGGGTTCCAGATCGAAGTCGCGGGAGGAGGATTTGCCGCCGGCGCCGCCGCCTCCGAATTGCTCGCCGCGGAACTCCGACGGCCGGTCGCCGCTGGAGCGGCTGTCCAAGGACGAGCTGGTGCTGCTGTGGAGGAGCTCCGAGTCGGAGCTGCGGAGCCACCTGCTGAAGGCGCTGCGCGACAAAGAGGACGCCGCCGAGCCGCCTTGAAGGAAGCCGGTGGGAGTCGGGCTTTCTGGATAGTTTGGCCGTTTCGCGAAATGATTGGGGCGCGCTCGTTTTTCTCCATCCGATCGTCTTTTTTAACGGACGCGCGTCGTTTTTAGGAAGCAAAATTTAATAAAATGTAAAAAAAAATGTAAGCCGTTTTGGTTGTTTGGGTACGGGAGAGGATGTGCCTGGCAAATGACAAATACGGCTTTGTGTTACGTTAGCATGTGATATCTCAAAAGTAGAAAGAAAAGCGTAAGTAGTTAATATGCCTATTTCTATGTACTACAAGCACGAGTATTATTATTGAAATAATCCGCATACCCTTAAAACCTGTGAATTCCTCTTTTTCTCTTGATATTAAATTTATTCCTAACCTAAATCAATAATATATCTACTATATTGATGTAATTATTGTTCTCTAGTATAACTATTTTGGAATATCATCTTTGTTCATCTAAATGTGAAGCAAATGGTATTCTTATTCGAACTACGCAAATTCTCACAACGTCTTCTTCAGATTATTTAAGGCCACCCGAAGTCTTTTAGGATCTGATCAAGCCACTTTAAGTAACAAATTTTTATTGTCATGACAAAGTATAATAGCCTAATTGACCCTCTTATAGGTCAAATACAGAAACTGTTAATTGTATTCCTTGTTTTAAATGTTTTTTGAATTTTAAGCTAATTTTCCTCATAAAGACGCTAGTAAAGTGTAAACACTTAAAAAATTGTAGTACTTACCAACTATCCTATTCCATTTTATAAGATATCAGATGTTAACATAACAATATAGATAAATGTAGAGTGATAAAATTGACCACTAAGTGTTATTAGAAGCCTTCTAGTCTAAGCACTTACTCCGAAAATTAATTCCTAGATTCTACACGATCGAATAATTTTATTATCACCACCCACCCCCTTCGCCATATTTTAATATTGGCCTAAAATATATGTATACATATATATTTTTTTAATAATCGAACTTCTTTATTACGTACATACAGGGAGTTTCTGTAATTTAATTAATAGAGCATTTTCCAACTTGTTTTAATTTTTAATGAATATCAATAAAGATTTTTTAAGAATCTATTTAACCCGCAATGACTTTAATTTCTTTGTTAAAAACAATTTAGCAAAATACAAAAGTGTACGAATCGAAAAATGATGTGATTAGAAATGTGTCCTTTAAATCGAGAACATCCTGTATTGTTGGGTACATGCCACGGGACTCCCTGTATGTACGTTTACATGTGAAATTGTTCTATGTTTAAGAGCTTAGACTAACATCTTTGTAGGCTGGTAAGCCTCGTCGCCTTTTTAACTAGGACTGGTTCTAGAAATTCATTGAACTATTTGGGTTTTCACTGCATTTTTATAATTACACTAAATATTATTATAATGTAAAAGTAAAATTAATGAAAATTTCTTATTTGGAAAGTAATATTAAATCGTTTCATAGGGATTTTATTGCGCAGAAGTTTGCATAATTGCACAATTAGCGCATAATTTCAATGTAATATTCAGAAATTGTATCGATTATTTCTTAATGAAGGGGTAGCTTGTATAGTTTAGCCAACCCCACACAAAAAGAACTTTGCTATTTTTTCTGATCTTGTAAGACGAGCACAAAATATTCTCACAGCGCATATTCAATAAATAATATTCCCATTAGTCGCAAGTTATGTTAGAGAGTCGTACAAAACGATTTATATTTAAAAAATAAGTCCTCTGAAATGATTTATTAATACTCGACGAAATAAACTATTTTCCACAAAAGATGTAATCTACACACTTGCAATTGTGTTTTTAAATAAAAATTATAAAGGAAGAAGATATATACTGCCAATTATATTTAGATCTTTTTCGATTAGATTGGTGATACTAAAGTCTTATGCAAAAAAACAGATTTAAGGAAGTTTAAACGGAGCCTACAAAGGCGTAGTATAGAGAAAATATTAGAATTTCTTGTTATTACGCGGTAGTATTACATTAAATCATATCCCTGTTTCAATATAAAATAACGAATATTTTTAATACATCTACTATTTAAAATTCCTTCCCTTCTACAAATCTAACATTTTTATTACCTTTTATTCTCTCTAAACTTTAAGGAATAATTTTTAGTCATTTTTTGTGATACTACCATCATTTTAAGTCAATTTAAAAAAGTATTTCCGTCTATTTATTAGATCTAAGTAATCTCTCTATTCTATTGTTGATATTTTAAAGTTTATCGGAATTGAACGATAATTTTTCGAATTAAGGAAATGTAAAGAATTACTGTTGGATGGTATTTGGTTTTATCAAATAAACGGCCAATTTGTTATAAAATTCTCTTGCCAGAACTTTGTAATAAGTGTTCATATTCCTCTGCAACATGAGTTTTTTACATTTCATTTAGATAATACATGAAATTTGAAAGAACATATGAAATGTGATGTTTACATAGATAAAACAAAATGTTTAAAATATTTTCCTCGTTTTAAAATGGGTAACTAAATACCAAAAATTTTGAAATATTGTTATGTTATCAAGTACAATTACAGTAGGGAATTTTAACACAAAGAACTTTTAATGAAATAAAAATTTAATATGGGCAAATTTCAGTTTACAACACGTATTAGGAAATTATTCTTCATGAAAGGATAGGTGTCATTAATTTTGAGAATTATTAATTCTGAAAAATGAACTTTTTAAAAAATTAAGTGCATTTACAAATATCACTAAAAAACCCTAAAAATTATGTTCCTGAAGAAATTAACATTAGAAAAAAATATGCACTACTAATAAATAATTTGTGAATAAAAATAAAATTATGTATAAAAAATAGTTCCATTAGTTCCACCTATAGAGAAATATAAAAACTATTAAGTACTAACATTAAATTTATAAATATTTTAGCCTATTTCTTCCTATTTTATTGTTTAAAAAATTAAAAAGTTTATACAAAGTGTGCCTTCGTAAGAGTTGTATTTTTTAAGATGTATCAGGAACTGAGAGGTCAATATGTGTTGTAAACTGTAACGTTTTAAAAAATTTTACGGAAACATTTTAAGCATTTATTAAATGTATATACTGTATAAACAAAATATTTAGAATAAACAACACAAATTTGTAAATTATAGCTACTAAACTAAAACATATTATTGTTAATGAATAAATATATGATCATAGATTCAAGTGATTTTTATGTTACTCAAAAGTTTTAGTTTTCGGAATTCGAGTACACTTAATTTTTACTTAAATTTTATTTTACTTTTCAAGTGTTGTGTCCTCAAAAAATGCATCTGAACTTAATAATGTACATGCAATTGAATTCGCCCAAGGTTTAAATCAAAGGGAATAAATCCTCTTCCATTTTAAATGAAAAGTTCGTAAATAAAATAAATTTTATTGATTTAAAATAAATTACCGCATCAACTTTGGAAGTCAAATCATTAACAACACCAAAACATACAAACACTGTACAAAAACGAAAGGTAATAAAATTTTATTCGCCAATTTTTCCATCATCTCCTTTACATTAGTTCTAAATCAAATCGAATTATTCGTCGCGTCTCCTATGCAAGTAAGTAGTAATGTTGGACTCTGTATAGTCTAAGATTTTCCTTTGACATTGTCGAATGTACTGCTGTTGCTTGTGATAAATCTTCAAACATCCTTTAATAGCTATAAATGCGAGTCCTCCTAGAAGCGTTTTGTGGAAATTGGATTTTATGGAATCGAAGAAGAACTTTCCAAACATGTTGGATATTGTAGGCAGCAATAAAGCGCCGCAGAGCACCCTGGTGGCCGAAACCGGATTCGATAGAGGCGGAATGTCTTCGTTTCCTGCGTCTGAATTACTGGGAGAAGCCTCCAATCGGGAACATCCCCTTAAACAGTGAAACATTTCTCATATACAATAAACATTTTTACACTTTGATGTAGTGTACCAACTGGAGAAAAATGTCATTTTCATGCAAGAATTTCATACAATTTGTAAACTTCGAAATTTACAAAAAAAAATGTAAATAATCAAGTTCAAAAACAAAGTTTCTTCTGGAAATAGAACTCATTTTCAACTTTCTATTGTGGCTCTATTTAAGTATTGTAAGACAACTCATCCGCCTAGTAATATAGAAACTTACCCAAAAGGTAATATATTTCTAATAAGTGGAATTTTCGATAGGTTCTTCCTCATAAAATTTAACAGGGCATCTTCCCATCTGACCATTTTTCCTAAAACTAAAGCCACAGGAATGGCTGGCAGTCCAATCAACAATACAAGAGGATCGGCCTGCTCCATTATCGTCAAACCTTCTTTTTGTCCAATAACCTACAGAAATTAAAATGAACTCAATAATTGTTTCCAATAATTAAAAATCGCTTACTAAATTAGTTTCAATCATGAATTATTAATATGAATGTATTAATATGAATTTATAAACTGAATCGAACCATATGGAGAGCTCCTATATTCTTTATTAACCAGAAGTTCATATGAATAATTACCTGCATAATAGTAATGGCTCCATATGTTACAGCACACCAATAGATAGCTCCTACGACAATACCTGCTGCTAGAAACGGGCATCCTTTGTATATGAAGCTATCTACTGTATCTAGCACTAGCACCAGAACCCCCATATTTGGAAAAACTATAATATATTCTGTCTGGCATTGCGGACAACTAACTTTCCCAATGTTGCCCCCTTTTTGCTTCTCATCAACCCACCTCTGTAAGCAAGCTTGATGAACCTGAACAAACAATAGAGCCTATAGTAGTATTTATTGTGATTACCGCTTCACTACTTACTAACGATGTGAAACTTGAACTTACCCATTTTGTAGTGCCTCTGCAATTACAAGGCTGGACCCACTGGGCATCTTTGTCCTCTTCATCGGTTGCAAAACATACCCAACAATACCTGGCAGATTCCTTGTTTTGAATTTGCGTTCCTGTGTCTTGTGTGGTTGTCCTATTTTCTTGGGATGAACCGTCTATGTTCTCTTGCTCTTCGTTATCCATAGTAATTTTTTATTTTCATAACAGGTGATTTGGTGACAAAAAGGTATGTGAAGATTACTGATTTAGTGATTTGTTGGTGTTTGGAGAAGACAAAATTAATTCAGTTATATCATATTGCTCGAATCTTTCTACTATTTTCAGTTTTAAAATGTTGTAAATTGTAAAATAAAATACCTCTTGAAAGTTAAATGTCACCTTTGTCACCTGTCACGTCTCTCAACATTCAACAACGTAATACCCTTGAAGTTGGGAACATTTAGGTCCTTTACTGTAAAGTTACTATTTTTCGTAGTTGTTAAAACTTGATCAAAACTAATTATTTATGTTCCTGAATAAAAATGAAGTCTGTTATGTTTACTTTTATTTTAATCGTTTCAGATATAAAAATAGATCAATAATTACATAAAAAAGAAGTCGATAAATCGAGGTTATGTCTGGTCTTATGTCAACTTCTTATGATTGAAGTCAAAGTCAAATGGTTAACTTGAATTCAAATAAAAATGTATTTGAAATATATAAACAAGATATGCGGTAATTTAATTAAACGACAATGTAGTTGTACTATTAGGTAAGTGCATGTTGCCTCAAATAAGGCATTTTCATAAAAATTTATTTCATTTTTATTAGAAAACTTCATCAAAATAGCAATCTTCATTCGCCAGGGGCTTATGAAGCTTCTGGGAAAACAACAGTGCAAGTTATGAATAAAGATACTGAAATAGGAATTATGATAGACGGATTTAGTCAAGTATGTTATACAGAAATATTAGCAAACAAATATAAAATAATAGTACTTCATTTTAGGTTGGATTTAAGCTGAACAATGATTTTACGATTTTAGGATCGATGGTCATATTTCCAAGGTAAATTAAATGAAGCCAGCTAGATTTTTTTTACCTATATTTTTCTTACAGGTCAGTACTGTCCTGGAATGTAGAAGATGTCTCGGAAATCACGGAACAAACATTGAGCCTCTTTACGATATTAGAACCGAAAATCGACATTCTAGTTTTAGGAGTAGGCGATAGATTGCAGGATTTTAGTTTGTATACAAAGATATTACCGTTTACCAGGAAACACAGAATGTCTTTGGAAGTTATGCCAACCGAGCAAGCTTGCGCCACGTTTAATTTTTTAACTACAGAAGGCAGGAACGTGGCTGGGGCGTTGATTCCACCGAAAATCATAAACACGAGTGAAGATGACGAGATGGAATCGAAATTGAGATATCAGAATTTGTATGGTTAATAATAAATTTAAAATTGAAAAAAATAGATTTTTATCTAATTCCATAATTATCCCACTCCTGGAACTTGATTTGTGTTTCATTCTACAGGGTGTTCTTAATAACATGCTAATATTTTAGGGGGTGATTTTTGGACACATTTTAGGAAAAAAACTTCATATGAATATATTTCCTAAACGTTGTAACTTTTGAGATACAGGGTGTTGAAGGTTTAACCCTTAACTGCTACAACTAAATACATATTTTGTATGTAACTGGTACAAATGGGTCTCTCAAACCCACATATTATTTTGTTAATGTTAACGCATATTGTATGTAAAAAAATATAACCTAAATAAGAAAGAATATACAAAACGAAAATATAAGACAGTCACGACCTACAGAGTGGGGGGTGAATGAAAACTCAATGAAAATATATTGGGTCTGTGGGACCCAACTTGTAGTAGTTAAGGGTTAAGAAAGAAATCAATTTTTTATAGTTATTTTCTTACCACTTAAATATTTTAATGAAATTTTGTGTACGCCTTATATGCATGAAACAGCATTTTTTGACCTAAAAAACATATTTTTATCCAACAGTGGCGTCCGTACTGAACTCGGGCTAGATATTTTTGAAAAAAAAAGTGCTACGCCACTGCTTTCTCTTAAAATAAAAATTATTCTAGAGTCCCGCTCGATTCAGAGCAAATTTGATTTCTTGCCTTTTTTTTGTACGACTCGCCGTTTCGCATAAAAAAATTAAATGCAATCATTTGTATTATAAAATTAGGTAGAATTTAGTAAGTTTTTTTTCATAAAATGGGTCCAAAAATCGACCCCTTAAATATTAGCATGTTATGAACAAACACACTGTATAGAAAAATCTTGACACTTCAAATATCCTATCTATTTTTATTCTAAATCTTTCATATACACCGGCTAATTAAAAAGTTTTTTTGTAGAAATCTTACTGTTTATTCTTATTGTTAAGTTAATAAATGGATTGTACGAGTATATTGTTTCGCGAATTATTGTAAAATATAAACTAGTATAAACGCCTATACTTTTTTCCTCTTCATTTTTAACTTACTTTTAGACATGTATTCTTGAATTTGCCTTCTGATATCTTCTTTAATTCTTTCCTTATTCATGTATTTTAACGTACCAGGATATTTTCTCTTGATTAGGTAATTTTTTATTTGTCTTTTCATGTCTTCAGAAATAAATAGCGATTCTGTGGTTGATTTAAACGAATAATATTCGAGTAAATTTACATTGTTGAAAGGGTTATCTGTGGCCGAGTTTAATATTTTTGTGATATTTTTTATAAGAGAATTAACTCTATCTTCAATACCATTAGAATAATAATTGACACTTTTCGGGTGATATATTGTTTTTGTGTGTAAAACTTTTATTTTGCTGTTCGTTGGCAATGAATTATCTTCTTCACAATTTGTCGTGTAACGAGGTTTTTTCGTTGAATATGATTTTAAGTGGGGCCTAAATTGTTCATCTTTCGTCGACATTTCCTTATCTTCTGACAACGTTTTCGGGGTAATTTCATTATGTGGGGATTCCAGTACATTTTCATCTATAACCAGGATTGGGATTAATCGTGGCACACTGGAACTCGAATAAACTTCGTTTTCTGCTGTAGATGTAGATATTGTTTGTTGCATTTTGCTTGTATGTGCTTTGTCCTCGTACAAGTCTTTTGGTGGTATCATTTCATTATTTTTGAATTTTAGTAAAAATTTTTTTAATGGATCACGACTGAACTTCTTTGGTACAGGTTTTTTAGTATGCAATTTTATATTGACAGGTACAACATTCTTCTGTATATTTGTTGTCAACTCCAGATCTTCTGTTTGCTGAATTTCATTGTTTAATTCCGTTTTTAAATTTTCAGTTTCATCATTTTCTCCGGATCCATCATTATTTGCTTTTTTTTCTTGTTCATTTACTTCGTTATTATCTGTACAAGTTGGTTTTATTTCTGTATTAACTGTAAGTTCTTCTGATAAATCACCATTCGGTAGAAATATGCCTCTGAACTTCTTCACCTTTGAAATATCAGCATTCTCCTCTCGAGCAGACTGTCCCAATTTTTTAATATAAGCATGTTTATTTTTGTTGATTCGACTAACTTTCTTATTGTAATATTTATTTTTATCGATATATTTTTTTACATCATTCTTGAAATCATCTACATACTCGTTTTCTGGCAAAGTTGAATCTCTGTCAATATCCTTAGTAACACTATCGATAATATAGTCAATTTGATGTTCAATTGGATTGAAAGGTTGGAAGGAGCTTCCACTTGTAGGTACATCACTCTCCTTTACGTTATTCTTGGTGATGTATTCGTGGATAATTTGGTGTTTGTTTTTATCTTCCTCCAGGAAACCTGGAATAAAATACACTTTTAGTGTATTAGATATTGGGGTGGTTGCTGTAGTTTTGATATTTCTCTTGGTTGTTTTAAGTTTAGTTGATTTGATGTGTTTCTTGATGGGATTTTTGATGTCATAGCTTTCTGCATCTGGTGCATTAGTACTATAATCTGTAACTTTATTGTGTTTTTCTATAGTTGAGGACTTTTGGTCAAATTCATTATCTTTAGCATCAATTATGTAATTTGATTCTAAGTCAGGAGACTCATAATTTTTACCTTTTGTAATAGAAGCAACATCTTCATTAATTTTGGTAGGGTAGATATTTAAGTAGCTTGATTTAGTAGTGCTTTCGAGATCTTCGTCTTCATTCAAACTTGTGCCCATCTCACCTTCCAAGTTTTCGTCTTCAGTAAGAGTTGTTGAAATATTTTGTGGGCTTACAGTAAAATCATTATTGTCTTGTACGTTTCGTGTAGTGAATTTGGCTTTGCTTTCAGATGTTTTACTAGAATAAACGTTCGTATTTTGAAATAACGACTCGCTTGTGATGTTATCATACTCTAATTCGTACCTATTTCTACCAAACGTCGACGGCGATTTCGTTGGTACTTGTGTTTGAGTGGTAAATAAATTTTGTCTATTTTTATCCACGTACGTCTCATTAAACACTTTCTCCATTTTTTCGGAATTGACTTTCCATTTGCCGTCGATATCGTCTTGTGTTATTAGTTCCGATTCTGTTTGAATACGTGGTAATAAAGCATAAAGTTTTGCAGTCGATAAATATTCATTTGTCGTGTAGTGATGATGTTCGCTTGAAACGCATATTTTAGAAGTAGACGGAATTTTATTAGAGTCTTCGATGTCTTTCGACATTTTATCGAGGTACACTTTCCATTTGGCGCTCAATTGATCGGATTTTCCGGTGTGAGATTTGATTCTGGTTGTATCCGAAGTTTTGTCGATGTTAAAGATAGTTGTATCGGTTTCTGTTGATTTTGAATCGTCATCGTCATATACAGTTTCTAATAATTCGTCTAAATTTTCGTTAGTAGAGTCCTCGTTGGGTATAGTGTTTAAACTATCTTTGAATGCTTTCAACTCTTCATTCTTTAGTCGCGCGTTATAATGTGATTTGACCGATTGTTTTGAGGTCGAAGTTTTTTCAGTTGCAATTTCTTGACGTTTTGTATAGTAATCGTCTACCGATTCTATGTTTCTCTCTTTACTAATATCATTATCTGTTTCTTCACTATGAAGTTCTTCTGTAGAATCTTCTACTGGAACTATGCTCTTTTCTTTACTGATATTATTATTTGTATCTTCAATTTGAAGTTCTATCGTAGAATCTTCTATTGGGGCTATATTTTTGTTTTTACTAAATCTGTTTGTTCCTTCAGTATGAATTTCTATTGCAGAATCTTCTACTGGAGCTATGTTTTTGCCTTCATTTAAATTATTTGTGTCTTTTATATGATGTATTTTCGATTCTGTCTCATTGTTTTCATCTATTTCGTTTAGATTTTCTTTTAAAGCATTAACAGTTTGTGTTGAATCTTCAACTGGCTCATATTCAATTGTAGTTTTTGATTTTGTCCACTTTGAAGAATTCGCCACTTTATTTTTGTGGTTACTGACTGATTTTTCGGAATTTATAAAAGGTGCTTCAGTTGTAGAATCATACATTTCATTTACGATTTCTTTATTTTGCTGATTTAGAGATTTTATTATGTTTGGATGGAGGATTTTACTTGTAAATAATTTTTTTGCGGGTTTAGTGGTGTATTTGGATTTTAGAGGACTGGCTTTTATTAAATTTTCTTCATCTTGTATTGAATTAACTTGCTGTTTGTTTTGGATGTTATGTTGACCACGTTTAGAATCTTCATATAACTGTTTTGTGTGAGGTAATGTTGTTGTAGTTCTTTCATCTGATGTGGATAAAGATGATAAAAGTTGTTGATAATCGGCATCTTCGGACGTTTCGTTAGTTGTTTTATCTTCATTATTTATAAATGTTTCCCAGTTGTCTTCTTTCTTTTTCAAATTTTTCGAATAAAAGTTTTTCCGGTTTTTCGATTTGTTGGTAGTTCGAACATGAACTGTACTAGTCGATGGAGTTGTCTTTCCGGACATACTAATTTTTTTATATTTAATTTGACGAATACTTGTACTTGCAGTATTTGGTTTATTAGGCTTATTTGTAGACCCTGTTTCGAACCTTTTAACGTCCGCCTTGAGTTTCACCGTTCGTAATTCATGACTGTGTATTATTCGTTTCGTAACTTCATTCGCTCCCGTGGAAGAGAAGTTATATTCTTTTCTATAATGAGCCGATCTTGTAGCCACTATTTTTTCAGAAGATTCCGTCGTGGTTGCAGATTTTTCGCTGCATTTTTTGAATGTAACGTAAGATCCATTTTCAATTTCTACGTATGTCGTAGGAGGACAAAAGTGTGTTTCTTCGCTGAAAGAAAAACACCTTAATAAATACTTTTTTTGTCGATATAAAGAAAATACCTTCCATCATCTTCGCCAGTGCCTAAAAATAAAACGGTAATTTTCTGAACTTTAATCGATTTCTTGCAGAACAATTTATAAACTGTCCCTTTGTCGTTCCATTTGGCTTTGATTTCTTTCAATTTTCCAAGCTTAGGTTGCGTGGCAAAGTAAAGGAAGGTATTGCCAGTAATTGCTGCATTCGATTCTCCAATTAAAGGCTTGGTGTTTTTCCTAAAAACGTTTTGTTGTTAGCTTTATACATTATGAAATAATTATGTTTTACTCGTTTCTTGCGGGATACGCCTTTGATATATCGGCACTTTCGTCAATTAAAATAAAATTAAAATAACCATGTTTTTCGTCGTCTTTAATGTGTATCGTAATTCTATATTCCAACACTAAAAATTCAAATATTTATTAAAATGAACGAATTATATGGTGAAAAATAAACTAAACGACAATAAAATTCCAACTAAAATTATTAGGAATGCACTCACTGCAAAAGGGTGGATGATTCGCTGTATTGAGAAAAAACATGTTGTTCTCTGATGTCTCCAGGTAATTTTTTAACCCAAAGATTCTGCAATCGTGGCCTTGTACATCGCAACTGGCGCATTTGCCCTAAATACCAATGAAATTTTCATAAAAACATTTATATTTTTATTCGATATTCCTAACATTTTGGAAATCGTCCAGAGAATTGCATCGAATGCCCTGAAACGTGCAATTCTTGCTCGAAATGGACTCGATAAAATACTTGAAAGCTCTTTTGTGGCTGCAACCCGGCAGGATTTCTCCCTCGTTTAAACTTCCCCGTTCTAATGACGTCAATTCGCCAACGGTCGAATTTTCCGAGCAACCTGGTTGTTCTTCGTTTCCGTTAACGTAGAAATCGCTATGTCCTAATGATTCATTAATTCCTTGGCTTTTAGCTAGAATAAATACAATCTAAGGAAAGTATTATAATGTTTAACGTAGCGTACACGGTGAATTAGTTGTTGCCAAAAGAGCCGAGCAGAATTAATTGCAGCATCAGTGGAAAATAAAATTTTTGGTATAGTCTTCATTAGGTAAATGTGAATTCACTTAAAGAGTAAGCTAGATATCTGTTCCCTAAAAAATGGTGTAAATATACAATTTTTATTATCAATGGTTTGGAAGATATGTAGGAGAAGGTGAATGTGAAATTTTGATTATTGGAAATTTGCATATTTTAGGAAACAATAATATATTCAGTTCGAATCTGTAACTAATATTATAAAGGAAATAAATCAAATTACTGTGATAAAAATCCGTGTGTATAACTTGAACGTATTTAGCGCTTCTAGGATTCAATTTAACGTTATAAGGCATCCCCTGAAACCTCGGCCCACTCGGATCCAAACCTTAAATAAAAATAATCCAGTTTATCCTAAATTTCTCTATACTTCAAAAGTAATTCTACCTGTTATTTTCTTTATTTTACTATGAATCGCTCCAACATATCCGGCTATGTGCGCTCCCACTCCATGGCCAATTACATGAACATTATCCAGAGAGTAATTCATTTTTTCCTAATAAATTGTAATCAGTAATTAACAACTAAAAATATAAAAGGACACTAAAAATTGGGTACAGAGAATAGACGGTGCAATAAAACTATTGCACCCGGTGTATTATTTACTACATCCGATTCTCTTCCAATAATAGGGTCCTGAAACTATCATATTTAAATACCTTTAATTCCTTCAGGAGAATATTAATTTCCAGAGCCACTAATCGTGCATTTGCAATAGCCTGGTCGAACGGAGCTTCTGCACCTCTTTGCCAATCAACAGACACTAAGTTGTAATCTATCGCGTTCTCCAATATTGAGAGGGATAAATGCTAGAAATCAATGTAGCAATAAGATTATAAAGATCTCAATTTACCCTTGTTTAAACATCTTTAAAAAAATCATAAAAGAGAGACGATCAATAAGGGTCTATGTATGTACCTTAATCCAACCAGTATAACCGTTTGCAGTAAAATCATGTATCATGATCATCAGTTCGGATTCATTGCAAAAACCAGCCCTTTTGATCGAGTCCTGTTTAGGCTGGAAACTCGCATATAACAATTGCTCGTCTTGCTAAAATTTGATTAACAATCAGTTAATATTACCGCCATTAAAAAGGAACACTTTAGCTTTACCTGATTCGGTTTTTTAATTAGAACAAAATCTGTTTTGACGATATGCCGGGGCAATGGTTTAAGGTTAACGGGACGGTACTCTTTATGGTACCAAGTTTGATCGGTTTCGATGCAGCCCAATCCGTCTTCGCACACTTTAAACAGCTCTACGATGTGAGGAAGGTTAGCGAGACGATTTCGAAAGGGAAAAATATGATTTACTTACCTACGTTTTCATCGGGAGTTTCTGTTTGGGTCTGCTGGTCAATGGGGTCCTGCGGGAACACGACTTGCTCGTTCAGTTCGTTGGAGTTGATTTTTGGAAGCATGAATGTTATTAGAAGAATTAAATGCGCGAGATTCATAACATTTGCGATGATGCGTGAACAGTGTATTTGACATTTTCCGTTTTTTTTGGCATAATAGATTTGTTCCCAATCAGAGTTTGGGCAGTTCACGAACTAGTCCATGGCTGCATAGTGGACTTGTTTGTATTAAAATTTTCGATTGTGCATTGACAGTTTTTTTTATTGTTTGAGCGCGCATTGGAAACAAATTTAATGATACCTGTTTTATAATTGTTACAAATACTTGTATAGTTTAACCCGGTAATGTAATATATACTGCTCCACAAAAGTTAAGGAAGTTTACAAATATTGAGATTAATTTAAATGTTGCAGGTTTTTTGATCGCCAAATTTTGTATGAATTGTAGAGGTAGGAGCAAAAAATCCACTCAGATATGAGAGAAAACATTTAATTTGGTGATCAAAAAGTCTGTAACTTTTAAAATATTAGCTAAATTTGCGAACTTCCTTAATTTTTGTGGAGCAGTTTATTTGGTAAATAAAGTCATCCTTCTAGTTTAATAATTTATTGATATTAATTGCTATAGCTTGAAAGGAGGGGCTCCCCGTCAACACTCGGTTCGACTTTACAATAAAACGGGTATAAAGAGAGTCTCTCAAAATAAAAAATTTAATTTTGGTTATGCATTTGTATACATTTGAAGGTTGCTAGTAGCGGTGTTTGAAGGTTAAACATTATACAAGAAGATTGGATAAAATTAAAAAATAAGGTAGAATTTTTTTTATTTCTTTACCCTGTAATATTTTGTTTTTATTTTTATATGGTTAAGTCTTAGCTAGATGTTGAAAATTTTTATACAGGGTGACCCAGAAAGTAAAGGGAACCTCTCGGATTCAGACAGAACATGAAAAAATAAGATCACAACCCAGATAACAATTAAGCTTGTAGCAAGCTTGCGCTAACCTTGTCACGACACGGTTTGTACCCTTGTTGAAACCCAGGGTGTAAGGTTATAAAAAGGTTTTGACAACCTTCCTAGTCAACATGTTAGAGGCTTGCTTTAAGGCTGTCATGACAAGGTTACTACGAAAAGGTTATGGCAAGCTTTTGAAAACCTTAATCTAGTCTAATGCATCGGTCTTTTGGGACATTTCATTGAACGATCTTCGAGTGATACCTATGAATAAACACTCTATTAATAATTACATAAGGCATAGATGATATCGAAATACAAAGAAATAATAAATATTTGACTTACCTTTGAAAAATGAAAGTAGGTAAAAAAACAAGTTGGAAAATAACATCAGCAAATTTTAAGAGCGAACTTTTACAAAAGGCAGTAGCGTCAGCAATGCTAGTTGAGAAAGTCGAGTAGCAAAGGCACAAAAATTAGAAACCCAACCCAACCCCGTACCCTTTACATCGAGTAGCGATTAGACAAAATAAAATTTCATAGGAAATTATCGGATTGAATACAAAATGTCTTTAAATGATTTAAAAAAATATTTCACACTTTTTGTAGTACATAGGTACTCCAAATGTATGCCTTTTCATAGATGTATGTTTTGTACTATAATCTTTCCACAAGCTTATTAGTTTAACTTTTTCCCATGATTTTTGCATATTGCAAAATTAGCTATAAACCTTTTAGTATAATTTATAAATAAACTTTAAAATAATCTTACATATAAACCTTATAAAAACGTGGTAACTGCAACCTAATATGTATATTAAGCAATAACCTTGCAATAACATTATTAAAAGATTCCCATGTAAAGCTTGTCACGATAAGAAAATGACAGTTTTATAAAGTTGTCAGAACCACCTTGTAATATTATTATTAAAAGCTTTTCACGAAAACCTTATTCCGACAATGCTATGACAATTGTATAAAGTTGTCAAAACAACCTTACTCTAACCTTTTTAAGGTTAGATTTAAGCTTAGATTAAGCTTATAAGCTTGTCTTGCAAAGCTTGTCATGACAAGGACATGACAAGTATATGACCTTGTCACAAGCTTACGTGCTATCTGGGAAGTTCCTATAAAGTTTTTCCCTACAGGCTCTCCCTGCGTCCCTGAAGAACACCGCTGGAAATAGGTTTTTCCTTAAATATCTTTTAAAGTACTTGATATAATTTAATGAAAATCTAATTTTATGAACACTAGTAAAGTACTTATAAAATAGTGTCCTTAAAACATATTTAGCTTTTTTAGTTTACCAGCACCGGGTTAAGGTTCACACCTTAATGCCTAAATTTTCAACACCCTGTATGATAAATACTTAAAAAACATAAATCTGGAAAGTTTCTACATAATTTTGACATGTGTAATAATTTTATTTTGTATTTCTGCTATAATTGTATGAAATTCTGATATTTTATTTTTTAAATTGATATTCGTCTTTTATTTTGACTATAAAAATAACTCATCTACATATTGGTTTTTTTAAAGTCTAGCAGATATTTTTTGCGAAATAAAACAGGTTTTTAAAGTCGATAAAAATTTTTGTGAGAAAAATTATCTGCTAATTACTGCATTCATTTGGAAAATTGAGATTTTCTATATGCCATTTTCATATTTATTGCACCAATTACGATATAGTAATGTACACATAATGAATATACATTTTTTAAATATATGTACATAATTACATAGTCATCAATTTGGTACTTTTCCTAAAACATATAAAATTATTGAATAAATGAAGGTATTTTTTAAATTAATTACAAATCAATTAATATTTATGTATGGATACCTACATATGTATATTTTCTAGTGTTCTAGAATCTCTCGATTCTTTCCTGTTTTAATTTTAACAATGCAATATTTTTCACAGAACTCTACATTGAATCTAGGTACCCCACAAATACTTTGCATATACTCTGATGAATACACAGAAGTTGACAAAAAAAATACAAAATGCTGGAGCTTCTTTTAATAGCAACACTTGTAGTGACTCTCTTCTACATTAATTGCATCAAACCGATGTACCATTGGAGAAAACTAGGCATTAAAAGTACACCTGTGGTATGGATAGCCGGAGATAACTGGGGAAATGCTCTAAAGCTAGAAAGTTTCGCTGACATGGTGAAAAGAGTATATAACCAAGTACCAGGAGCTAGGTAAAAAAATAATTATTTGAAATGCGTCCTTAGCTATTGCTGTTTAATATATGGAAACAGCATACCTATTCAAGACAATTCACTTTATTTCAAATTAATATTCATTCAGGTACTCTGGTATGTACCAATTCACAACACCGACATTAGTGATTAGAGACCTCGAGTTGATTAAACGGATCTGCGTTAAGGATTTTGATCATTTCGTCGATCATAGATCATTCGTTTCCGAAGAGGCCGATCCTACATTTGGAAAGAACATATTTTCACTCAAAGGTAACCTCACTTCCTTGTCGTATTTTCATTATACAGAAGAACTTCTAGTTTAAATAAACTAGAAGTTCTCAGCTTTGCTCAATTCCTGGAGGTATTTTAGGTCAAAGATGGCGAGATACGAGACCTTTGTTGAGTCGTTTGTTCACCAACAGAAAAATAAAAGGCATGTACATATTGATGACGAAGTGCGCCGAATCTCTAACTAATCACTTTTCTAAGCAAATGAATGATATCGTCGAATTGGACATGAGGGACGCGTCGGGACGCTTCACCAACGATATCATCGCGTCCACGACAATCGGCGTCAGCGTCGACTCGTTCAAAGACCCGACCAACGAGTATTACCTGTTGGGAAAACGGGCCACCGATTTCAGTAGTTTAGTTATCAGGATAAAATTCTTCGGGTTCTTCTTGTTTCCGAAATTAACCACTGTAAGTTATTCTTCTATCTGTTGAATATTATTGTTGGTATGTTGAAATTGCCAAGTTTTTATCATTGATTGCTTAAAGATGCTGCGAGTACCGCTGATCGACGCGCAGGCCTCTAAATTCTTTAACAAACTCATGATGAAGAATATCAAAATGAGGAGGGAAAAGGGCATCGTGCGTGGCGATATGATCGATGTTTTCCTCGAAGCTCAAAAAGGTAAAAGCAGGGAAGAAGAAAATCATGAAATTTACAACGGACACGCTTCAGTTGAGGAATCGGATCTCAATCAAAATTATATCGGTAATTATTTCATCTTACTAAACTGTAGACACATTGAATGTTATTCAATATCCTCCAAGGTTTAAAAATAAATATTTTATTTACATTTTTTACTTATATCTATCTTAATTATATTAGGTAAATCGGCGACTACTAAACTGACGGACTTTGACATAATCGCTCAAGCGATGGAATTCTATTTGGCCGGTTTCGAAACCACATCCTCCGTGATTACCTTCATGGCGTACGAATTGATGGTCAATCCGGACATCCAAAATAGACTTAGAAACGAAATTATCAAAACGCTGAACGATTGCAATGGAACGGTGACGTACGAGGCCCTGTTAAAGATGAAATACATGGATATGGTCCTAGCAGGTAAATTAAAAATCAACTACATCCACGTAATTAATTTAATTCATAGTAAGTAATTTAACGATCCATGTAAAATGTGTTAGCCTTCTAACGAGGAAAACCCGAAAATATAGCTTATCGATGGTAAAAATGATGAAATATAACTTTTCCAAACATTCATGCATTGTTAAATGTACAAACATACCAATTTAGTTCTCAAGCAATTTTTCAAACATTACCTACATCCTTCAAGTAATACGAGCTAGGTTAATCAGGAAAATAGAATCGATAAATGATTAAATTGATGAAAGCCTAATAACTCTATTTACTCGGATATCGATCTTTATAGTAATTTAATCCAATTTCAGCTCTGTTACTTGGAATTTACGCGAATACATTTCGTTTTATTACAGAAACATTGAGAAAATGGCCGGGCGCAGTATCAGTGGACAGGCTATGCACCAAACCGTACACAATCGAGCCGGTATTACCGGGGGAAAAACCCCTTCACTTAGCCGAAGGCGACATTGTATTAGTGCCGATATTCGGACTCCACCGCGATCCGGAGTTGTTCCCGGATCCGGAGCGCTTTGATCCGGAAAGGTTCAACGACGAGAACAGGGGCAGCATCGAACCGTACTCGTACCTTCCGTTCGGCGTGGGCCCGAGGAACTGCATCGGCAATCGATTCGGTCTATTGAGCGTCAAAGTGCTGTTCTTCCACCTGTTGAAGGCGTTCGAGCTCGTCCCCGTCGATAAGACGGAAATTCCAGTCCGGATTTCCAAGTCGAAATTCGGCGTCGATCCGGACGGGGGTCTACCGTTGGGTTTGAAAAAAATAGGTGAATGATTTCGGATGTGCATATATTTTAATCAAAGTGTTACAGATAACATCTATTATTTGGTAGTATTACATATGCGGGGGTTAATATTTTAAAAATCGTTCTTCAAATCGTATGTTTTCGGGATCTTAGAAGCCGGACGTTTTCGAAGATATTCTCGAATGTTTTCACTTTCTAATATTTTATCTTTTAGTTTGATCAATGCCGGGTATTGCTCAAAAACATTCTTCTCAGGGACGAGATTCATTAGGTCCTCATATGCAGAAAGGAATACAATATCCGCCCAAGTGAGCTGTAAATAGTAATTTTTGTTATATTTGTTATTTTCAAAATATTTGATTGATAGTAGAAACATTGGAGTTATTAAAAATATTTTACGCTTACTCTGTTTAGAGCGATGAATCCGTTTTTCTTAACATTTTCATCGAATTTTCCAAGTATTACAGGTACTTGTTCGTACAAAGTTTTTTCTATTTGCTTCTTTCTTTCTTCGTCTGATTCTTTGAAACGAGTGTAAACAGCTAAAAAATATTTTACTTAATATACACAATTACATAAGAAAAGTGTTTCTTACATGATAACAAATCCCACAACGTGTCAACAACGCAATCTATAGACAAGTTTTCCAAACCGTCTTTTCCATCAAGTTTCAAACTGTTTGCAACGTATTTGCAAAGTGGTGTTGTTTGCCAGAAAGGTTTTCCATCGATTTCCAATACGGGTATTGTACCAATTGGCATATCTATAAATAAATCAAGTATAAATTTATAATGAATAAATATATGGTTTCATCCTCGTGGTAGGAATTGTAAATTAGTAGTGCAAAAATAGTACGACCCTATAAGGTATAATTTTATTTTTTTTATAGATAGAGCACAGAAAATAGATTTTTATTAATTCTAACGTAAGTATACATATCTGATTCGACTTGAAAATAAGGTTGCTTTATTACACTAGATAACTTTAATACATCGGTGTAGGTACCTTATTGTTAGAATAAAAAATTCGGCCATGAAGCAATTGAATCCTCAAGTAATAATTACAATAGAGCAAAGTTCATAAAGTCCCTTCATGTAATTATCAAAAAAATCGGATAAGATATAATTGGACTAATACCTACTAATTATAGGTATACTTACTTGGTTTAATTGCTGGCCAATCTTCCCATTCGAACCGGAAGTCTTCAAAGGGAATCCCTCCGTACGCAAAAAGCAAACGAATCGGCTCACCTCTTCCCGTGAAATTAAAATAATACAATTTATACTGCACCATTTCGAATACAACTGTAACAAACAATTCGCTCAATTAGCAGTGAACTACTTCAAGTTCCAATAAATCAATTAAAAAGTCGTGTGGATACAAACCTACTAAAGTTTTTATACAATTCAAACAAAGCACGAACTAAATTATTCGCTACACACTGTCGGTGTCGGTCTACACTCTACACTGCCGTAACGTAACACAATCTCCCACTTTTATTTTAAAAATTCCACTGACATTTTTCTCATGTATGATTTGATGAATCATCTCGATTTAAGTTCTGTGCGGTAAATGCAAGTCACGTATTATTAAAACCTTTTTTAATAACATATTTAAGATGATACAACGAAAACGACATTGTGCTTCGATTAAAATGTTTAAAAAACAAGATATATTACAAGTATTATTACATCATACGACTTTAAAAATAGATAATTTTTACAAGGTCCAATATACATACTATTTCTGAAACTTGATAAATTTTAATATGTTTATAATAGTTACAGTTGGTCTGAAAATGTGTTGCCTAATTTTAAAACTGCTGCCGATAGGAAAAAACATTGTATGATGTAAATAATTGTAGTGTACCTACATAATTATCTAATAGAATGGAATGGTTGCTAAAATATGCTAATTAGAGTCAACAGAAAATTTATTCGCATATTATTTAGGGTTCCATAAATTTAAAATTCGTTCTTTAGATCGTATATCATGGGTTCCATACTTTTTGGACGTTTCAGGATGTATTCCCTGAGGTTTTGGTTTTCCAACACTCTGTCCTTCAGTTTAACCAAAGACGGGTAATTCTCAAAAACATTTCTCTCCGGAATAAGATTGAGTAAAGCCTCGTAAGCAAAGAGCAAAGCAATATCGGCCCAAGTAAACTGATAAAAAATATATTAGTCTACTTGTAAATATAATTTGATGCTATACTTACTCTATTTATAGCGATAAATCCATTATTCTTCTTAGCGTTTTCCTCTAGCTTATTTAGCACCAATGGTGCTTGTTCGTTGAAACTTTTTTCTATTTGTTTCTTCCTTTCTTCGTCGGTCTCTTTGAAGCGATTACGAGCACTTGTGTGAAGTTAGCGCCCATCATCAGCTCCGATATCCAGCGCTCTTCCCCCACCACTAAGACAGGTTTACACTGTACAATTAAGTGATTAGCAAGGAAATTCTACACAATGTTCTGTTATTTAAAATATTCCTTAGAGATAATCTCTGATAAAATAATATCAAATATTAATTTAATAATATGAAGCCTTTCTAACTTTTTTGATTGGAAAAATACCTTTATAGCATTGCTCTCCTTAGTAACTGTAGATTCATTTACCGTTTTATATTATATTTTTTATTTAATTCTAGAATTAAATAAAATTTAAATTGTTAGATCAATTAAGCTTTATAGACTATTTAAATTTCTGTTATTGCAAATAGAATCCCCTAATACCACGCTATATGAGAAAATTTTTTTTTTCAGAAAACGAGGCTTTATGCGTTATTCTCACAAGGTGGATTTTAGTAACATTATTACTCTCTACATTATCCCCAAAAATTAGCCCCCTAAAACCCCGGCGTCATATAGAAAAAGTACCCTTTATATTACAAGTACCCATTTATTTATACATCTTTATTTTTTTTAAGAAAAACTAGGCTTTATGCGGTATTCTCACTAGGTGGATTTTAGTTACATTATTACTCTCTACATTATCCCAAAAAATTAGCCTCCTAAAACCCCGGCGTCATATAGAAAAAGTACCCTTTATATTACAAGTACCCATTTATTTATACATCTTTATTTTTTTTAAGAAAAACTAGGCTTTATGCGGTATTCTCACTAGGTGGATTTTAGTTACATTATTACTCTCTACATTATCCCAAAAAATTAGCCCCCTAAAACCCCGGCGTCATATAGAAAAAGTACCCTTTATATTACAAGTACCCATTTATTTATACATCTTTATTTTTTTTAAGAAAAACTAGGCTTTATGCGGTATTCTCACTAGGTGGATTTTAGTTACATTATTACTCTCTACATTATCCCAAAAAATTAGCCCCCTAAAACCCCGGCGTCATATAGAAAAAGTACCCTTTATATTACAAGTACCCATTTATTTATACATCTTTATTTTTTTTAAGAAAAACTAGGCTTTATGCGGTATTCTCACTAGGTGGATTTTAGTTACATTATTACTCTCTACATTATCCCAAAAAATTAGCCTCCTAAAACCCCGGCGTCATATAGAAAAAGTACCCTTTATATTACAAGTACCCATTTATTTATACATCTTTATTTTTTTTAAGAAAAACTAGGCTTTATGCGGTATTCTCACTAGGTGGATTTTAGTTACATTATTACTCTCTACATTATCCCAAAAAATTAGCCCCCTAAAACCCCGGCGTCATATAGAAAAAGTACCCTTTATATTACAAGTACCCATTTATTTATACATCTTTATTTTTTTTAAGAAAAACTAGGCTTTATGCGGTATTCTCACTAGGTGGATTTTAGTTACATTATTACTCTCTACATTATCCCAAAAAATTAGCCTCCTAAAACCCCGGCGTCATATAGAAAAAGTACCCTTTATTTTACTAGTACCTATTTATTTATACATCTTTATTTTTTTTAAGGAAAATTAGGCTTTATGCGGTATTCTAACTAGGTGGATTTTAGTAACATTATTACTCTCTACATTATCCCAAAAAAATTAGCCTCCTAAAACCCCGGCGTCATATAGAAAAAGTACCCTTTATATTACAAGTACCCATTTATTTATACATCTTTATTTTTTTTAAGAAAAACTAGGCTTTATGCGGTATTCTCACTAGGTGGATTTTAGTTACATTATTACTCTCTACATTATCCCAAAAAATTAGCCCCCTAAAACCCCGGCGTCATATAGAAAAAGTACCCTTTATATTACAAGTACCCATTTATTTATACATCTTTATTTTTTTTAAGAAAAACTAGGCTTTATGCGGTATTCTCACTAGGTGGATTTTAGTAACATTATTACTCTCTACATTATCCCCAAAAATTAGACTCCTAAAACCCCGGCGTCATATAGAAAAATTACCCTTTATATTTACATCTTAAATAATTTACAACTTTTATAATTTTTAAGTTACTTATAAGAAACTACAAAGTAATTAATTCTGACATAAAGGACATGTAATGTTGGATTCAAAAACTTTCAAAGGACCCATACATATCTTCTCCCAAGGTCTCTTGCAAATTTTGCAAACAACATATTCATGTATGTTTCTTACCTTATTTCCACATTTCAAGCAATATTTTGACATATTCAAAGATTTATTTAACAAATATTTTTGATATATTAAACGTTGTTGATCTGGATCAAAATTAGGAGTGCAAAATTTATTATTTTTTAAAATGGACTCTATAAAATGAATTACAAATATGCCACAGTTGTAATTGTCACGTTGTAATACATGATTTTCTTGAAGAAGATTTAATGTTCTAATTTGTGGTTTAATTATATTTCTTTGAAATAAAGTCGTCATAAAGATATTAAACCGAGAGTACATATTCTGTGTTTTACATTCACTTGAGCCTAATGGATCAATGTAAGTAAATGTTAAATTAAGAAAGTCCGCAATTACTAAAGTAAAATGTTGCTGGGATAATATAGGGATAACGTTAATTTTATTTGTCATATCAGAGAAAAATCCATCACTATAAAATGAGTCACATAATTGATTCGGCTTATAGAGAATATCCTGTGTCACATAAATTGACCAAATTTTTATTTTATCATTATCAAATTCTCTTTCTAACAAATGAACTAATGTAAAAAAAACTGTATTCGATAGTTGTTCTTTATCCTTTAAAGTCGAAAAATCTTCAATAGTTAAATTATTGATATTTCTAAATCGTCCAATAAAATCTTTTGAACAATCGTCTCTATAACGACATACAACGTAATTTCCTAAAAGTTTGTTATTTTTGTAATAACTTGGATTTTGCTGGATGTAATGATTTTTATTTTGGTCGCTTAAACTTTTGCTTTCTTCACAAGATATATTATTTAGGCAATAGGGTTCTCTATGAAAATTTTTTGAGCAGATAGGGCAATAATAAATCACATCAGGTGAATATAGCGGTTTTTCGAATTTAAATTTTCTTTTGTCGCAGTTAAAATGTATCCATCTCTTACAAAGCTCGCATTTCACCCAGTTAACATGTGAGGCGTCTTCTTTCTCGAATTTCTTGCAATAGGCACATAATTCTATTACATCTTCTGAATATTGTAACAGTAACGTTTTTAAATGGTTAAAATAATCCATCACTTTAAACAAATTATTAAAAATGTTTTCGCCTTGTATAATAATATCAAGAAGATATAAGAGGAAAATACCACTTTCAGCTGAATTTTGTACTGTTTGATGAGGAAATTTCTTATAAATCCAAGTATTTTCAGGAATCAATTTTGCTGTTGCATATAAAGCCTTCTTGGAATTATATAATTTTAAAAATGATACAAATTCGTCGAGATATTGCTGGCATTCAATATCAGTAGTACCATGAGGATTAAATATGTTTAAGCAATGATTTTTCATATCTATTTCCAAAAGTATCCATTTTTCATTTAACATAAATAAAGGTACGTAAGTTTTACATTTAAACGGTAGAGGTTTGTCGTGAAGCATTTTTTTCTTTAGATTGTGAAACGAAGCAAACACAGGCCATAAAATGGATGAGTCAGAAGCTTTATTCTTTTTTATAATAAGCGCTCCAAAAACATTAAACATTTTGGTTGTGATATATTCAAAAGTGTTAAATTCGGAACAAGAAACAAATTTATCACCTTTCAAAAAATTGTAGTAGCTGATGTAATAGATCAGATTTCTGTGATTTTTATAATAGTTTAAATCATTAATTAGGTTGTTTTTTAGGATATCCAAATTAATCTTTTCAGGGGTAATGTTTTCTACATTAATATCGATTGTCTCTTTAATAACTTCATTTTTTTTCTCTTCCTTTACTTTTGGCAAGAATTGCAAAGATTTACTTGAAAAGAATGAAAATTTAGGTTTTGGCTTTCGGTCCCATTTTTCTTCTTCTTCTGAAAGAGAGGAACTAGAAGAAGACAAGGTAATAACCTCAATGTCGCTATTATATTTGTTATTACTCATGGTCTTATAATTTTTGGGCGCAGATGCTAATTTGTTTTTGGGTATGTCTAAAGAGATCTCTTTATTAACTTTAATGACTTGTTGCCGTATTTTTTTAATAAAAATAGTTGGTCTTAAATCCCTTTCGCCTGAAAGAATATCATTTTTTAGAAAACCAA